GAACCCAGAATATTTACACACACTGCTTCTCAAATGCTTTGGTATCATTATTGTTCACTCAGAATGGCTCTGCTTGCTTATGTCCTTTTTGCTTAAGCTTAGTTTACTAATATGTCAAGAGAAAATGCATTCTTGTAGACTAGTCACTTCACTACACGATACACCTTCTTCACCACAACACAAACCCACGACACATCAACTCACTACACAGAGGGAAATGGATGTGTCCACTTCACTACAAGATACACCTACAAGTAGTGAAATGGGTGTGTCATGTCACCTACCAAACTACAAGACACACCCACTACACTACACAATACCCACTCTACAACAAGACACACCCACTTCACCACATGACACACCCACTTCACAGCATGATACACCCATTTGAGTGAGTCATGTTGTTGAGTGGGTGTGTCATGTCACCTACTTCACTACAAGTCACACCCACTTTACTACAAGGCACATCCTCTTCACTACATGATCAAATGTAGTCAATCAAATAATATAAAAACAATAAAAGTTTCTAATGTTTTCTAAATTTAAAGTGTCATCAAATATTGGATCGTGAGGATAAAACACATTTCACTCATTGTGTGTTGCTCAACATTCATTCGTCCATCTTTGTCATAAAAAGTATGGGGGCCCCTTTCTTACCGCACTTTTAAAACTATACTTTCACCACCTGAGACGTGCATCTTTTTTTGCTGAGCTCCATCTGTTTTTTTCTTCCCAAATATGTACTTTCCATTCTTAAATTTATACAATTTTCCAATCTTAATACTCTATATGCGTAAATCATACTCCCTGAAGGTTTGTGCTAGCATCTGTTCTTACAAACTCCATCTCTCTCGCTGTGTCCCTCTAGGTTAAGACAGCATCTGCCAGCTACAGTATGTCCCCGTAGCCTCCTGCAAAGTGTCATTAGCTTCATTTAGTCTTGCTATTTGTCTTTTCTGCTACTCCAGTGAACCTCCATAGCCCCATTACACTTTGCAGGTTCATTTAAGGGGAGTTTATCCAGAAATGGTGTTGCATTTGTCACGGCTCACTAAATTAAAACAAAAGACAGGGATTGGAGGAGAAGCATACTCTGTCATCAGTCTAGTTTTTAACCATATGTCAGATGATATATATCCTAGGCTACCATGTTTCTTTGCTACCCTAATGCATTTATTCTCTTTCCGTTTTTCTAAAAGACATAAAGATGATCTTTCACCCTGGAATCAAAGTTTATCACACATCTTCAGCCATGACTCGAAAGTGGTCCGGAGAGGGGCACTGACTTTGTAATCCCTGCCATCTGTTGTGTAGATCAGATCCCACTGTATGGCGACCTTTATGTAGGCCACCCTCCATCTACCCCACACACACACACCAAGAGGGAAAAGATTGGCACTGTCTAATTCCATCTAAATCTCTCTCGGCGGACCGACTCAGTTAGTTTCCCTTCACTTCCATCTTGGGTCATATTGAGGGAAAAGAGGAAGGCTGTGAGGAGCGCTGGGCGACATGCACGAGCACCTAAGCATGTGACTGCTGCAAAGAACAAGTTCCTGTGTCCATCTTTCTTTTTCCATCTTATATCCATGAAATAATAAACCTACAGGCATCCATTCCCTCCCCTTGAAGTGCTACAGATATTGAAGTGCCCTTTTGAGCTTGAGCCCTCACTTCCTTGGCCTAAATGTCAATGCTTAATCCTACCAAGCAGTATGACCACAAATGATCTCGGAAAAACACACAACAGTAAGAAGCATAGAGAGAAGTGGAAGGGGATAGAAAAAGGAGGCGAACGGGGTGGATGAATGTGGAGAAAAAGTGCGAGAAGAGCGAGGAAAGGGAGATGAGGAAAAAGAGGAAGGATGAGAGCCCATAAAGAGAGGGGGAGGAGGAAAAAAATACGAGAGAAAAGGAATTGCAGGAGCGAGTTGGGAGAAGTGTGGAGCATACGGTTGCACCCCTCCACCCCCCACCCTCCTCATTAAGTCAGTCAATGTGACAGGAAGACTTATGTAACACCCCAGAGATGGAGGGAGGAGATGGAGAAAGAGTAACAAGGAGGAGGATGAAAGAGGGAGCAAGGAGAGCAGCTGTGAAGGGGGGTGAAAGAAGTGATTCAATGGCAAAGAATTAGGAGCGGGTTGAAAGATAAAGGGGGCAAAATATGAGAAAGAGAGAACGTAAGACAATTAAGCAGGAGATATATGAAGAGAGGGATCGGTCTAGAGAGATGAGGAGAAGGGGGGGAAGATAAAAAAGCAATTGAAAGATCTGCCGTGCCTTTTAGTATGGCTCCGCTGGCTTTACACTTTTCATTTGTTTTGTGGGGGAGAGATTAGCAAGAGGATTAAGAGAGCGATTCTCCCGCTCCTCATTCTTTCTGTTTCCCTCTGTTTTTTCTCTCACTCTTTCCCCCTCTCAGATGGGCTCATGCATCACGCACACACATACAGTGTAATGGCATGCATGTAGAAATTGTGTGCATGCATTAGATGCTGTATGTATTAGGGCTGCGGCGTACCATTATATTTATTCTTGGATGATTCTATTGATCTGACGACTATTTTTGCGGATTAAATGATAAGTCGTTAGGTGCAAATTGTTAGAAATGTCTTCAAATTACTTGAACCCACTGTCCAAAAGTATTGATGCTCCTAAAATAATTTGACAATCAAGTAAAGGGCTCATTTATGCTCAATGTTAGATAGATATACGGACACGGATGGAGCCTTCTGTCTGTACTCTGCGTTCATTTTGTCCGTATTTGTGCACGTTTTGTAAAAACTTATGGATAGGGACAAACCCAAGCAGTACCGCCAGAGATCAAGGATGCAATGTAGTGTTGTTCAAGAAAGAAACAAGCATAGGACACAAGGAGGACATTTAGAAAATGGCAGAACAGAGCAAATTTAAAGTATAGTGAAACGAATTCTGCATCCACATGTCACAAATTATTTAACGGCCCCACAGACCACCGCCACCTACAATGCTGCGTCTGTTTAAAAATACATTATTACAACATCCTCCACCGTCACCTCATTTGTTGTTGTCTGAAACTTCTGACTCTCCAGTGCCATCTGTTGACTATATCTATGCCATCATAAAGGATGTATGGAAGTATGAGGGCGGTGACCTTCAACGTATTTAAAACAGACTATTTTTGTATGTAAAGGGAGTATAAATGAGTCCTAAGCTGTTAGTAACAGTTCTCAGGAGAGCTCGCTGGTGATTTGGTGCTCAAATTTTGGCATTATCTTCGCAAGTTCACAAGTTTGAAGCTAATCCAGATGCTTGACTTTTTCGACTTCTTGCTGGCGAATCTATAAGCCTGTCATGTGTGGTCAAACTGTCTCAGTTTCAGTAGTGCTTGATTGCTGGTGGCGAGAGCAAGTTGAAGTCACGAAACTATCACTAAGTTTAAATCTGAGAAATCAGAGTTCTGAGAATAACTAACGATAATTGATGTAGATCCATGAATGAATAATGTTAGATAACTATTTCTTAATTAGTGGGCTATTTGGAATTTTTGAGGTAATTCATACATATATTTGAAAAAAAATGAGTATTTGAATAGTGATTTTGATGATGATTACCATGGCAACGATCGAAGCTTTGAAGCATTTAGGTCAGCCCTAATTTACAATAATGTAAAAACAAAGGAAATCTGCAAATTCTTAAATTAATCGATTAATTATTATCAGTCGATCAACTAATCCGTGAACTGACTAATCATATATATGTATACATATACATGAACTCATTCAAGCACACTCACGGGCACAGTGCGTGCATAGTTTGTGTATATATATGTAAACTGGCAGATACAAGCAGACACAAAAATGCACACACACTCTCTCCCTCTCTCACACACACACACACACACACGTTCTATTCAGCCATTGAGGCAGATTTGGCCGTTAGCCAGTGAGGTGTAGAGGTGATTGGGCAGCTTGGGGCTCTCGGACCATGTTTGCCAGTACATCTGGCCAGCTTTCTCCCGCTCTCACTCTCTTTATCTCACCCTCTGTCTCTCCCTCGTATCCACCTCCTGCTCATCTTCCTCTCTCCCTCCACTTCTGCTGTTCATGCTCCCTCTTCCTTACCCATTCTGCTCTCCATCTGTCTCTCTCCCTTGTTCCCTTTATCTCCCCGGCTCTTCTGTTCACTTCTCCCCACTCTTTCAACACGCACGCTCCCTCTCTTTTTTTCTCCCCTTCTCTGAAAAGCTTAGCTTTTCTCCCTCTCTCCCTCCCTCCTTTTAAACAGCAAAAAGCAATTTCTCTCCCTTTGTCAGGGCGGTTGGCGGTAAGCCCTTAAGTAGGGATTTTCTGGTTTGGCTGGAATGCCATTAGGCGAGCTGGCGGTGACGTGCCGTGACTGACGTGCCGAATCTTTTTGATGTCGTGATGTCACAATCCAGTGGAGGCTGTGGTTATGATATTGTTGGCGTCCCCGGAATGAGGGGCTTTAGTGGTCATGTCAGGAGTAAGTCTTCATAAATCCTTTATGGCACAGAAATATTAAGCTTCTTTGGTTGTACAGGGACAGAGGGAAAAACATGGTGGAACGTGCACACATGTGTACAGAAAAGAAGATGCACACACAGACACAAAGCCACCCACATGCACAGCTATACTGGGAGACTGATACAGGTGCACGTGTACTCTAAGAATTCACACTGTTACACACACACACAACCCGCCACAGTGTTCTGATTCCTTTTAATTTGGATTATTTTTTTCTCTCCCCATCATTGTCCTTTCTCTTTTTCTCTTTATTTTCACACTGTTTTACTGCAACAGAAGTCTCAAATTTATATGTTACAGATGTGTGAATGAGACACTAGTGGTATATTAAGAGTATTTACAAAATCACAGTAATCCATTCAAGAATATGTAGATGTATGTGTGAATGTTGTCACATGAGGGGCACTGACACAAACAGCAACATTGGTAGTTTGAACATCACTTAACTTTTGTATGTATCTTTCCACACAGCACCCCCTAGGTTTACACGAACCCCAGAAGATCAAACAGGAGTCCAGGGCGGCGTGGCCTCCTTTGTATGCCAGGCCACTGGAGATCCACAGCCCAAGATTGTCTGGAACAAGAAAGGCAAAAAAGTCAGCAACCAGAGATTTGAGGTAAGATGCTGAAATACCAATGAAGGAGGTGTAACTTTGTGTCTTTTTTTAAGTGAAAGTAGCCTACTGACTTCTCCTAATACTGAAATGGTGTAAACTGAGCCAGGAGTGGGTAAGCATCCAACAACAGAGCCATGACTTATGTTCACTGGCTTTATGTGGACCAGCTGTGTAAAACAGTGGTGTCTGAATAAAGCAGGATGACCATTGCCATTGGTGTCAGTTTCTCACAGCAGACGTTTTGTTATGTCAAACACAGGTTTAACTCCCAGCATTAAAAATGGCTGTAGAGCTGATGTGTTGTTTATTTTACAACTTTGAGTTCCAACCAAGTGATTTGATTGGACAAGAGACATTCTGCGAGTGCTGAAATAGAGTACAACAGCACTGCATGTATTACTCCGCTTTACAGGCATTCTTAATCATTAATTAACTGTTAATTAGCCTACACTAATGGCGGTCATAACAAATGTTAGCAGCGCAAAGATGAACATGTTTCCACAAATAACATTTAAGTTCAATCATGAATGTTTCGTCAGAAGAGGATGAAGGGAAAGAAAGAAGCCTGGACACCTCACTGCAAACCTCCAGGTGTGCTCATCTGACATCAGCCAGTGTCACAGTAGCACTGTCTGATCAAGCTGTTATCTCACTGGAATCAAACATGCCACCAAAGCGACTGTCTGTGACGGCTTTGATTATCTTTGGCACGACCAAATCTGATATTCGGTACAACAGCACTCCCTCTTGTGTGATAAATGATTAGTACATCAAAAGATTTTTTTTTTGGAAACTGTTCTGATAAACAATTAATGCTTTAAAGGAATAATTTGACATTTGGGAGAACATGGTTATTTGCTTCCTTGCCGAGAGCTAGATGAGGAGATCAAAACCACTTTTTTCTGTCCAGTGAGTACAAAGGTGGAGCTTTAGATGGTGAGCTTTAGGGGTGCTGGGAGAATGCTAATATTAGCTGTTTATGCTAGTTGTTATGCCAAGCTAAGCTTAATGTATCATAGCTGTAGCTTCATATTTAACAGACAGATACAAGAGTGGTGTCAATCCTATCATCAAATTCTTGCAGGAAAGTGAATAAGCCTATTTACCAAATAGTCTAACTATTCCTGTATGTAATTTTTCAAGCACAAATGCCAAACATTACTTAATCCCAGCTTTCCAGTTGTGAGGACTTGCTGCTTTTTATGTTGCTCTTATTGTGTATAGTTGAAGCTTCAAATGGCTGCCTTACATTTGTGTTATCCACTTGCAGAGCCCTGATATTGTGCATGCTGGCTCACTCAAATTGCCTAAATGTAACTCGCCAGTGAATGAAAAGGCCAACCCCTGATTCTCTCTTGCTCTGGAACTTGTTTTGCCCACTTGCCCTTTCCCCCAGGCCCCCAGGAACAGTGCTGGGCTTTGAAGCCAATTTGATACATTGGCCAAACTGTGGAATTACTACTTCTCGGTCCGTGGCTTGATGCCATTGGGCCCAAAAAGACTTTTCTCATAGACTTTCATTGTAAAAGAGACCACTGTACACTGGATGCAATTTTTTGAGCATCACAACCCCCGCAAAATGACTTGTTTCACACTGGGATTTAATCCATTCTTTCCGACACCATTTCAAAAGTCACAAGAGCCACAAGATTGGATCACCCCTATTCAAGTTAGCAGAGGGCTAAAAGGGAAGTAAGCTGTTTTGCTGGCAAAAGTTAGCAGTTCAGTCAGTGAAGTCTGCAGTGCTTCTGCTCTATGGGCCCCATGATGCGAGGAGGATCTGGGTAATTTTACACCTGCGAAGTCAAACTTTTTTGGCTTCATGAAACACTGAGCAGCTGTCATGGGAATGAGTGGGTCCCCATCTCCAATGCTACATCCAGTTCTCTTTTTACATCTAAGGTTTTGCCTTGTTATATTAGAGTTTTTACGGTGCTGTGTCAACGATTTTTGGAGTTGACAAATCAGAGTGCCCACTGTGAGAAGGATATATTGTTGGCTTTGTATTTATTACAATGAAAGTTGACATTTAAGTCAGTAATGAGCAGTGTGTTTTGTTTACAATAGACAGCGTTATTGTGGGAATACATGAACACACATAAAGCCACAATTGTACTGTTAAACATTTGATCCGTTTACCTGCTTTTCTTCATTTGTACTCCAAAGGTTATACAACTGTGTGAAATGATATGTGTTCCAACTCTGTCATATGTCAGATGATGCCTTGGGCTACAGTATATGAGATTCTTATATGATCAGCCTTATTAGTTTCCCGAAGGCTCTAACCTTTGATTTATTTCCCCACCTCACAAGTCCCTCTTAGATGGAGATGTTGAACCAACCTCTCTCCTCGCCAGTCAGTGTCACCCTGAGCTCAGGGTGCTTTTCCACTTTAATAAGTCGAGTTTCCTCCCAGGTTTAAGTTCATCTTGGTGTCTTCCTGTTTGTGATTAAATCACTCGGGGAGATATTTTATTTTTAATCCACCCTATATAAACTCAGACTACTCGCTGTATATTTCTCTTTGCCGTCGTCTCGGTTAGGAGTTGTTGAGGGATTTCTTTTTATTGGATTTCAGTCAGCAGAAACCTTCTCAGAATTCAGAATCCAGATCTAGTACATGCATGTATTAAACTTATGCAAGAGCATTTAAAATGTACAATCCAGTATTTCTGAAAAACATTTTTGTTTTATTACATCCTAAATTGAAAAGGACATCAGAGATAATCAACGAGAATTTTGTTCTTAATTATTCCTTCTCCTCTCTTTCAGTTCAGTCAAAAGCTACTTTTGATCATCAGTAGATTGCTTCCCTGGTGCTAGCTGAAATCTATTTAAATGTATACTGTATGTAGTAATAGATCATAGACTATGGATGCCTTGTGGCTAAAGATTAAATCTGACTTAGTGCTCTCATACTCCCAGGCTCTGCCCCTCAGCTTCCCTCAGCAAATTAAAAACTTGGAAAAGGCCTTATTTTTTTGTCTCTGAAAATTACTGTTTATCACTGAGCTGTCAACAATGTTGAAGATAAAATTAAAACCAAACAGCAGCACCAGTCGGGGTCCATACTTCAGTTGAACATTTCTGCTGCCACTGTTTCCATAGCACAGTGCAATATTTTAAAGCTTGATGAACTTAGAAGAGGTTTCTTTGATCCTGCGGTTACAGATTTTTTGGCCACTTTGGAGGCAGGAGAGACAAGTTGTATGTAAACACAACACTGACATACTATAAGCATTTAAGTTGATAGTGAACTTGGTAAGTTGAAGTCTCTAAGTACCTAAGTATCCAGCAGGCACAGAGCAACATTAGCATTCTTTTGAAGTTGTGTTTATGTCCTCCTGATCAATGTAAGTTCAATATTCACTCTTTTTAGCTCTGTTTTTGGTCTCCACCAACTACGGAGGGAAATATTTCTCTGTTTAGCTTCTAAATGCTCCACTATGTTCACCAGCTTGTCACTAAATATGTCTCTTACCTAGTGCTTTTCAGCAGTAAAGGTAGTAAAACCAACATCATGAACTAAAGGGTGCTATGAAGCTCCATAGCTCTGAGGGGGGCTGCTGAATGAGGTCATAATTCTCTGTAGTTTCGTCAAGACTTGCACCTTTCACTTTGCACATTTTAATCCATTTTGATTGATGTCACTTTAACATATTTTCTCATTAACAGGTAATAGAGTTTGACGACGGGTCCGGCTCGGTCCTGAGGATCCAGCCACTGAGGACCCCCAGGGACGAGGCTATTTACGAATGTCACGCCTCCAACTCTGCAGGAGAGATCACTGCCTCCACCAGACTAAGTGTGCTACGAGGTCAGTGTGAACTCACATGCAAGCTATGTTTCCATTCAGCTATCAAATACAATTTTTTTTTAACTTGCTGTAAGGTACTAATCCTAATTTTAATCATAACCGTAACACCTAAATCGCAGCAGTTATACATTAAAAAGTACTGTCATCATTCAATACTTTGCTTATTCCATAAATGTGTTTTCTGTGTCTCACCTAATTGTGATGGTAATGGTGCTGTAAATCACAAGATTCATTATGATACCATATTATAATGGGGTTTTTTTTGGTGAGGGACACGATATCTGCTAATATCATAAATCCACTGCAGCACGATTTTAACTTGAATTAATTCAGCAGCCTGTAATCAATATGAGAAGAAGTCAGTAAATATCCTCATTGTCTTTTTCTTGGCTGATTACCATTATCTCTCTGGTGCTCGGCTGATTGCGCTAGGAAGGAGTTGTGCTTGGACGGGAGTGGTGACACAGACATGCCATCGGAATGTCAAAAAAAAGACATATCTTAAAGGGGACCTATTGTGCTTATTTTCAGGTTTATATTTGTATTTAAGGTTTCTACTAGAACATGTTTACATACTTTGATGGTCAAAAAACACTTAATGTTCCTCGCACTGTCTGTACTGAAACACCTGTATTCACCTTCTGTCTGAGACACTCCATTTAGCACCTGTCTCTTTAAGCCCCCTCTCCCAAAAAAGCCCAGTCTGCTGTGATTAGTCAGTGTTTCGGGGTCTTCCGTATCTTGGCATCTCTGCACAATCATTGCATCCAAGGAATGACTGTACCAGAGAAGAGCGACACTTTTTACTGTGAAAAATGTCCAGTAAACACTTCAAAACACAACTGGACATGTTCCAGCAGGAATCTGATCTGAAATCTTGGCGGCATTTACAACATCAGCAACTAAGATTACATGTTTCCCTGATGTTAGTATGTAGCTTCATGTAGCAGTGCATGCTACATAATGTAACCACTTGTAGTAGCATGCATGGAGCAGATATAAAGAAATCTGGCACACCATGATGTCATCTTGTAGCCAGGGTAGGGAAAAAAAACTGTTGGAAACGAAGTATTCAGAATGGTAGGAAACCTGAGGTTTTTGCTCAGGGATTACTTGTACATGTGTTTACCTCATTACTTGAAACTTTGGCCACATTCAATATAAACGTCCTTCACTGCAACACTATATATAAGACACAAAATACCGAAAAGCACAACAGGTCTCTTTTAAAAATTGATAAGATTGGATCGTTGATTACTGAATTGATATATCAACCCAGATTAATGTATCGCTACAACCCTAGACGGTGACTGATAAAGCAGTCACACTTTATTGTTTCCTATATGTGTAACATTGCTGTTATTGAGTGTTTGCACCTATAAGGAATACTGTATATAACTAGAGTGATTTAACTTGAACTGACCTGTGGCTACTCAGAAGTTCTGATGGTAAAGTTCAAAGCTAATCCTTGTATATATACGTAGAAGGTCTTTAGTTTAACATTATAACCGTAGGTGGTGATTTTAGCACCAGCCAGAGTGCATTAAAGTATTATCCAGTCAAAATCAGGTTTTACACATAGTCGAGTCAAATAGGATGTTTCCCTGTCGATGTTTTTCAAATTTTAAAACAGTTCATGCAAGAGAAGTGGAGGCTTGTCGGATGTTTCCTTAGATGTGGATATGTATATGCAAGTGTAAGCCTGGGTCTACTGCGGTAGATGTTTTTTGTTAGTGTTAGCAAGAGTCCATTAATGCAGATAGTGATGTTAGTGTTAGTGGAGTCCATTAGGAGAACATTATGTACCGGTAGTTTGAAGCTCAAGAGTGTCTCAGTGAGTGAAGCTGCTCAAGTGTGGATAATCACATCGCCCGCCTTTACAGTACATGCTCGTGGGGAAAGGACGTGCAGCCTATTGTTCTACCATCTCGTCTCTCTCCCTCTCTTTCTCTCTTGTCTCTCGGAGGGGTAATAACATAGTCTACAGTTCTTCCTCTCCACTCGCTTCTCTCCCTCTCTTGTCCGTCTGTGTTTTTTGTCTCCCCAAGTTCATTCCCTCTTACGCTTTCTTTCACTCTCCCTCTTTCTCTTTTTATACACTTTGTTTCTCCTCCCTCTCGCCCTGTCTCCCTCTCCCTGTCTCTCCAGATGCTCTTAGGTCCACTACACAGCAACCTCTAAATTATTCACATCAGACCACTCTTTGCATCTTCTGTGCTGTTCCGCTCCATCCATCCAGAATCTTTCCTGTCTCACATGGTTGTCTTTGTACGTGTGTGTGCGTGTGTGCGTGTGTGCGTGCGTGCATGTGTGTATTTGTATGTGCTTTTGCGTGTCCCTGCATCTATTTTTGATTTCTCCTGCTTCCCTTGATGGAAGCTATCTGCTCGTGTATAATCTGAACAGAGAATGTGACCACACACACACAAACACGCGCACACACAGACAGGCAAACACACACACGCACAAACGTATCCTCAATCTAAGACAGTCAGTCTTTATGTAGTGATTAGCCTCTTTCTACTCCTCTGAGGAGTCATTGTGTTGTGGATGAATAAGAGGCCACCTGGGAGCAGCTAATAGCCCCTGATATACTGTCAGTCCAAATGTCAGTTGAAAGCATGCACACACGCACACACGCACACACACGCACACGCACAGGGTCTTGTCAGTCATGTCTCCCCTGGCTCTGTGAAGACAGCTCCAGTGACTGACTGACTGACTGACTGACTGACTGACTGACTGTCTGTCAGACAGGGGGGATCCAATGTTAAGGTCAGCCGGCTTAATTACTGAGGATTAGAACCAGGCTAATTGAAATCTTGGCTTCCAGTAAAGGGGTGTGATTGACAATGGCTGAAATAATAATGAACTTCAGAGCAATTATATGCTTTAGGATCCAGTGTGCAGTCTGATACTGTATAATTCATGCCTTGGTAAAAGTTGAGTTTGTGAGAGTCAGACAATGTGCTCCAGTCCAGAAACTGAAGCTGTAAATTGGAAAGATGACATTGTAAACTTGCAATGTCCATTCTGGTATGATTTTTTCTATAATTAAAGTACCTGCTAATATCTTGGAACATGGAGACAGTGATGTCTGACCAGGCAGGAAACACGAGTGCTCAGATGATCAGACAGGTTGTAAACAAGCCAACAGTTTAGCCAGAGTAGCTAGACCACTTTATTTGAAGATAAAACAGAAAGTAAGTGCAGCAGAAATGTTGGTAATGTAAATGTGGTATGAAAGTTGAACTAGAAAGAGGGTCTGTAAACTGTAGTGGATGTTTACAACGGACAGTTTGGATAATGTTTTTACTGTTCACCTGTGTAATGTTGTTATTACTGATAGGAATAATGGCCAAAACTAGAAAAATAACAACCAATGTTGTAATAATTAGAATTTTGAAAACCTCTAATGCTATTCCCCGTATCATAATCCGATATTTTCCCAGCTGTCATCATATAGTATACATTTTACTAGGGATGCACTGATTGTGAAATTCAGGGCCAATACTAATGTTTAAACTGGCAGTTTGGCTGATACTGATGTTTGCTGTTGTTATTTATTATTTCCCTTTTGTGGCAGGGAAACAAAGAAATCTTCACTATAAAAAAATGCCTGTTTTAAAGTCATTCGGCCCTTCATTACACTACCTTTGAATGAGTACAAATTTAGTAATGCAAATTCATGAAACAACCTTTAAAGGTAAACTATACAGGATGTCGGTTACAGTTTGTAAACATGCTTGCCAGAAGAAGTGAAAGTGAAAGCCGGTAAAACCTCAGATTCACTCTGGTTTGGTATTTCGCCTTGCTATTTTTGCGTGTCTCTTTGATGCCTGCTGTTTACAGCTTGCTTTTTATTAAGCCCTAATGCCACCTGAGCACTGTGGGCGTACACACCCACTAACGTCTCAATCGTACAGTAATGATGATTGAGAGGGATTATTTTTGTATGGGTCTATATGGGCGGCACAGTGGTACAGTGGTTAGTGATGTCACCCCACTGAAAGAAGGTTCCTGGTTTGAACCCTGGGGTGGGGGAGCCCTTCTGTACATAGTTTGCATGTTCTCCCTGAGTCACCGTGGGTTTTCTCCGGGTACTCCAGCTTCCTCCCACAGTCCAAAGACATGTAGGTTAGATTAATTGATGACTCTAAATTGGCTGTATGTGTGAATGTGAGTGTGAATGGTTGTCTGCCTCTATGTGTCAGCCCTGTTATAGTCTGGTGACCTGTCCAGGGTGTACTCCACCTCTTACCATGTGTCACATGGGATAAGCTCCAGCCTCCCTGCGAACACTAACAGGATAAGCAATTATGGAAAATGAGTGAATGATTGATTCAGTCTATAGATTATTTTGTAGGAATATTCTGCATAATATATCTTTTATAAATACTTTCACATGAAACACTTTTTTTTTAAAAAAAAAAAAAGATAACTGCTTCAAAAGCCTTTTTACTTTATATATCATAATTGCCTCTCTCCATATCTCTCTTATATTGCTGTGAGAGCATTAACCCTTTGAAACCTGAGCTAATTGATTTCTTTAAAAACATTGAAAGGAGGAATAAGTAATGACCCAAACACGAGCAGGATATCAGTAAAAAGTCACAAAAAAGTGAAAATTGTGAGGAAAAAAAACAACAACAACAGGAAATGACCGGGGAAAAGGGGCTAAAATAAAATAATAATAAACATACAGTATATATATATTTTTTCTGAAACCTTATTTTGAATGTGTCATTATAAATATATAATTCTAATAATTATACATAGTATTTCCCCCCTTGTTTTTTTTTTTAAATAATTTTCTAATAACCATCTCATTCTCTCAGCTAATTTATTGACACATTTTATTTGCAGGATATTTTATGCCAAATTGCTGAGTCCCTTTTTCTTAAAGGAATCAAGCCAGTTTGCTCAGGTTTAAAAGATACTTGTGAAAGGTGTGTGGAGCGATGCTGCAGGTTTCAAAGGATTAACAACTGTATTTATTCAGTTTCTCGCAAAAAAAATAAATTTTACGAGATTACATTTGAACACATCGTGATGACGTCATAATTATTCTTTGTCCAATACTTATTTTTTTCTGAAAATGCAACAAAATGTAACTCAATGCAACCTCTGTTTGCTGTTAGTTCTGACCATTGGCTACTAACAGCTAACAGCAAATGTTAACCACCTCTCCTTTGGCCAATTTCAACAAGGATTTGTTGTTCATAATGTATCATTACCAAGGGGTAATGGGTTTAGGGTGCACCCCCTGACACGTCAGTAGTTCGTTCACCACAACCTTTCATCCCAAAGGTGTCCTGGAGAAGATCTCTGTTCATCCCAAACGTGTTTTCTATTGTCCTCAGGATGATGGGAAGTCGCTAGTTTCTTGCCCTGCTTTTTAGCCTGCACAGAATCAGTATGACAGAGCAGAAAAATATCAGCCACTGATATCGGTGACTGTCATCTTATTTGACAATAAGACAATGGCAGTCAACAAGGCAAATATCGACCAATACCAATATTAGGCCTATAAATCAGTGCATTCCTACATATTATCATTATTATTATTATTAAGTAATCAACACAATTACAAAATCTATCACACCCCAAATAGTAGGTGTCCCTCACATTTTATCTAACAGCTTATACTCACAATGTAGTTGTGACAAAAGATTGTGTGCCCTACAAACAGTTTAATGAGATGCAGAAACAAAACCAACTGTGGCCTCACAAACAACACCAGACTTGAATCAACACTTCTCTCACACAGTCTCCTCAACCCAAAAAAAAGTAACATCTAAGAAGCACAAAGTATTGCAGTAGTCCAGCTGTTGTATTGGAATGCAGGACGTTCAAAGTGTTAATTTTATTGCATCCATCACTTCAGCTGTTTATCCCATGAGTCGGTAATAAATGACAGAAACAGGTTCATTTGCAGGTGCAGACATTATTCTTGAGCTTCCGATACAGCAGCCAGCTAATTCCTTAGTTCCCATGACTGTGAGACCAGATTGACTTGCGGTCTTCCAGATTTACAGATGACGAACCCAGCGAGAGATGTGTGTGGATTTCATTTTGGGTCTCGCATAAAGAGGACAGTGTGTTCGCACGGCAGTTCCCATGATTGTGAGACCGGGCTTTTCTATGAGCTGTGAAATTATCTGGATGTCTCGCAGTGGAAACACTGATGTGGGAGCAAATCCAAATGAAACAGTGGGATGTGTGGAAGGCTCCGTCAACAAGGGGGTGTAGGGTTACGCATCTGCTCTGACCTCGGGGGTACTTAACTGTTCAGAATAACACACACACACACTCACATGCACACACACTGGAGCAGCTTTGTCCCAAACACACTTTGGTGTTTGCTTACACCTGCCCCCATGATGGATGGTGGAGAGCTGGTTATGAGTATGTGTTATCATGTGCGTGTCTGCGTGTGTGTGTGTGTATATGTGTGTACGGGCGCGCATCAGTTCATTCAAACAGCCCTCACACACTTTCACGTATATCACTTCACACCTTGTCAGCATTAAATTTAAAAAGCTTGTGTTTTTGTTTTTTTGTCAGCACGAAAATGCGTCTGTGTGTGTGTGTGTTTTCATCCGTGTGACTTTTGGTTGCCTACGTTTTTCAGCTTCCTGCACACACCTCTACTTACACATCCACATCCACATCTGCAACTCTTTTTTTTCCTGCACGGGTGAGTGGTTGTAGAAGAGGGGCAAAGAGAGATGCATGATCTCTGGGAGTAGCGTTCTAACTGTGCGTCCTCAATGTTCATTGCAGTGTCCCACCCCAGGTAGATGAAATAGAATGCATTATTCCTCCCTACGAGGGGCTGGCTTTGAAGTAAGCGTTTGCATAATGAAAGCGGAGAGAATCAGGATTGTTATGCTGTATGGATCCCTTGTGCTCACTCTCCCTTTCTGTCTGTTTTTCCCTTTCTCTCTCCCTTGTTCTCTCTCTATTTTCCTTTCTGTCACTCTTTCTTTGTCTCACTATATTCCATTCTTTACCCTTTTTTTTTTTTTTGCACTTTTGCCCCTCTTTCACCACCCGCCCTGGCAGACACGCTGGTACACACAAACACCTTCTGATCTTGTTCTCTTGGTTTATTATGTCCATGTTTCCATTTGTCGGGGCGTTTGTGATTGATTGAAACCGGAGCTGTTAAAAGGCCACACACGCACTCGCAAAGCTGGTGTCTCACGACCCGTCGGCTATGGTTCGATGGGCCAGTACCAGAATTAGCATCTCCTTGGCGAGGTTCAGCGCTAGGATTTCTCGTTAATGAGGCTCTGTGTGGTTGAGAGGGATAAAGTCACAAGGGATTCTGGGTAGCAAAAAAAAAATGGGGGGAAAATTACAAAAGACTGCCTCCTAGATCAAATACAAACACAGGCAGGAACGCAGGCTCCTTGCTCATCTGTCTCTTTTCGCCGTGTCTATCTTTACCCACTTCATTATGGATGACTCATGGATCTGACATTTTACCTCGCAGTTTCAAAGTGCAGCCCTGAACAAACTTAAGAATTTGTTTTTAAAACCGAATTACTCTGAAACTATTTGATTCCAAGGGTGAATACAGTATATTCTCGGTGTGACTGAGTTCAGGCGTCTTTGATCCCCCACCTCCTCGAAGCATTGTCCCCTCCTCTCGCTTAAATCTCCTACTTCAGATGAATGAAGTTGGCCCACTGCCTTTGATTTCCCTCTATCACAGTGGAACCACTCTCCATGTTTGATCTAATTGCCTCGGATGTCTATGAATTCACATTTGATTTGGCATCCCAAAAGGGTGCGGGTCCCAGTGGATGCGTCTTTATTTGACTCGCCTATTTGATTCATGCAACGGGGTGAGCTTCCAGAGAGGGTTGTGTGCAGACGGAGCAGGACAAAAAGTGTAGCTCAACTGCCACTGACTCCCAGCAGAATAGATAGTACTTGATTTTCAATTGATTCTTATTTAAAGAGCAGTTGCCTGAAGCTTTTGTAAGATAGTTTGTCAGGTGGAATGAAACGTTACTCATTCTATTTGACCTCACTATTGTATTTTTCAAAAGTCCTGCCTGCAGGCTTGAGCCTGGTTCGAAACATATTTTGACTCTAAATTGATTCTAAATTTGACTCCTGTATTTGACCAGCCAGTTTCCTTTAAAACCTTTTCACAGTGAACTAGTGAGTCAACCTGCTTCATGTCAATTCAGGACTGAATCTATGTCTTTTCATGTAGGCTATGAGGCATCACGCTTTGTCTTGTTTTGATTGTTGACTATCTGCTCACAGTGTGTGTCTAATGCACGATTGACTCAGACAGATGAATGAATTGTTTAAGGTGTGACCTGCAGGCCAATGGCAGCCCTCAGAAACATTTTGTCAAGCCACACGAACATCTATTATATTTTAATTATTCACAGTCCATTCAATACTTTTATTTTTACTTACATTTAATACAAACTACTCAGCCGCTGCGTTAAACTGCGGCCCCCTAACAAGTGACTGTCAGGTTAGGAATGTCAACAAATAGAAAGCTACTGGTTGCTTTGCAAGTAGTGGCACCTTGGGATCATCGTGGGAATAATGCTCTGTGATCGATTGTAGTGCTGTTAGCTTAACTTAGTGATTTAAGTAACAAAAGTTTGCATAATTGAGGAAAAAAATAGGTTTCATGAAATGGGTAAATTCTTATCTCATCGGACCTTGGGGGGCGGATAAAGGGATCCTCCTTATCCGCAAACAGGTGAATTCAGTGCTCAAGCAATTTAACGTTCAACACCACTATAAGCACAACCACAAATCTTACAAGTTCAAGGGTGAAAAGCCAAACATGAGTTTCAACAGTTTCAATGAGACCTATCTGGTCAGCAGACAGTCTTCACAAATCTTGTGAGCTAAAAAAGTCTCTCGAAACAACCTTCCAAAAACTACGATCATTCCTAGTTTTTTCTGTGTAGACACAAAAAAGGGAGGGGGGAGTCTTAGAATTATGAAAAAGTAAGGTAAAATAAATAGCAACTGTAATAATGTATACTTTTATCAACTGAATAGATTTTTGGGGAAAAAAAACATCCATTGAAATGAGCACATTTAAATTGCGACAGATGATGTAGATGAATGTGTATCTTTATTTTCCAGCTCTGCTTGACTTGTGTATTTGATCTTTCCAGAGGACCAGCTGCCCTCGGGGTTCCCCACCATAGACATGGGTCCCCAGCTGAAAGTGGTGGAGCGTTCTCGGACCGCCACCATGCTCTGTGCTGCTAGCGGCAACCCTGACCCAGAAATTACCTGGTTCAAGGATTTCCTGCCGGTCAACACGTCCAATAACAACGGACGAATCAAGCAGCTCCGCTCAGGTAACCACCAATTCAGTCCCTCCATTCTTTCCCTTCCCCTCAACCCCCAAGCTTTTATTTCCACCTTTAGGTTTGTTTTCCCTCCCACTTTCTTTTTATCCCTTTTTCAATATCCACTCTTTCTTTCTTCCCCCCCAAACCCATTTTTTATTTTCTGTTCCTACAAAGCGTCTGTTATTCTTGCCCTCGTTCACCCCTTTTCTTATTGCTGTTCCGCACTCCTCCTGCCGTGGTTACTGGCTGTGTTTCTCTGCTGCCGCTGTGGTATGAGTTGACTGTGTGTGGTTGCCAACTTTTCTCAACTCTTCAAAGCCTTAAAACAGTGAACTCCCAGCTCTTCTCTGCTTTTCTCCAAACTCTCCGAGGTCTTCCCGTGCAAAATCACCATCACGAAGGGTTTAATTTTTCACTTAGTACAAATGTTATAAAATATTTGTAACAACACGCATCAGTGCGCATCACGTCTCCAGTCATAATCTCCACCAATTTTCTCTACTGACAGAATGTGCGAGGTAAACCCAGGTGATGGTGACATGCACACAGGGAATGTCCTCTCTAAGATGGCTCACTGCTGTGACTAAACAAGCAAATAACCTTTTGTTTTTCCTCATTTCATGGAAAATGTGTCTGGCGTGGGTGTGAAATTGACTCACAGACATTACATCCATGTTATTTGAGAAAATATATTGACAGAATGTGTTGAATTCGAGGACAAATTACTCGGAGAAAAACACAGAATAAATTATTTTCCGGTCAAGCTGCTCAATCCATATCAATCAGCTTTTAAATAGCCACAGTAGTGTAAAATCCCAACTTGTCTAAGCAAAGTCCCCTCCCTCCTCAGACTGACTCTGGACCCAAAATCCCTTTCTTGTGATTGGACACCCAACTCTTTTGCTTCTTTATGTATAACAACCTCTTTGCTTCTGTCCCCATTTTTTTAAATTTTGTGGCTCAGCCCTCAACTCCTCGCTCAGACTCCCTTTTTGACCTTTAATTTACAAAAAAAATATAACAAATTAAATGATTTAAAACATTATTACAACTTAAAATGTCAAATACTTAGTGTGTTAGCTTGATTCTTCTATGTGATGATTACAAATTACGATTCTTTTAAGCACAAATTTCTGTGTAGATAATCGATATCCTTGACTTCTTTTTGGAGTTCCAGTGCTTTTTCAAGGTGTTTCTACAACTCCTCTGTGTAACCAATGGTCCGATTGTAATGCCATGTCTATGCTGTTTCTTTTCTCTTTGTATCTTTTTAACCACAGAGTCCTTTGGTAAGTGCTTCTGTTCCGAGGCCCACACCCTCACTGTCCACTTCTCTATATACTGTTCACTAATGCTGCTACTGTTGCTGCTGCTGCTGCTGCTCACCTTTACAATGTTGAGGTGTTAATAAAATGCATGGCATGCATTTTACTAACAGTCACAAACAGAGATAATATAAAGCACAGACGTTTACAGACACAGAAATACACACACACAGGCACCCACACATCATTTTGGTAAAGCAACACACTATGGATGCTACAAACTGGAAACAAACACACACACAGACAAACATACACATGTATCTACACATAGATACTCACACATATCTGTCACCCTAGACGTAGCTGGCCTCACCCTCACCTGTGCACCTGCAGCCTTTCCACACCCAAAAAAAATACAATAACTTTGTCCTCACACTCACCTATTTACTTTTCCACTTATTCAATTATTCTTCCCCTCACTCAATCTGTCATTCACTCACCCACTTACTCTCTCTGCTCTGCTGTATAGAGTTACAAGTCAATAAGTCATCAACTCTAGATGGCTGTTAGGTGGAGCCACTGTAAGGAAATCAATGGCGACCAGGTTTCAGGATTCTAGACGTTGACTGTACAGTGGAGTATGTATATGCTAAAACTGGTTCCTACTGCTTAGAGGTAGTGAATGTACACATGCCATTTTTAACATCACCATAATGGAGCCAGTGAAGTTAAGTAGTAAAGAAAAATCCACCCTTCAATACATTCTAACTGTTATATAAATCATTTTATGACGTTTGGAAATTTTACAACAAAGTGCTGTAATTTGCATTTCGTTCTTTACATTTACTTATTGGATTTCCTCAATTTCCCAGAATGCTTTTACAATTAAATGACATCTATGCCTGCATGTATTTATGTACCCAGTGATCACTGATCAGACTCACACCTCTTTACAGCTGAAACCATCAGTCAATTATATGATTAGTCAAATGGCTGAAAATTAATTAGCAACATTAACATTTTAGTTGTTAATCAATTGTTTAAATCATTTTTAATTTTACTCTGTCGTTCTCAAATGTGAGGATTTGCTGCCTTTCTCAGTTTTTCACTGAAAAATAAAAGAAGATTGAATATAAACTGAATATATGACCGATGGTTGTACAAAACAGTTAATTTGAAGATGCTACCTTTTAGTGTTGTCACAATACCAAAATTATATCTTCGATCGATACTTGCCTAAAAAGCTCAATACCCATACTACAAAACCATTTAAAAAAAAAACCTAAAACATCAGAAACTATTTTCAATAACAGGCTCAATAAATTTGTAGTTTATGTGCTGTTCAGTGTTTTCTCATTTTCTTTATATGTAAGTTTATGTGATTGCTTTAACTTTATGGTTGCAAGCAGAAACCACTTATTAAACAGTGTTTAATAGGACTGAATCCACATGTCTGGCAAAGGTCTGCACTAAGTGCATTTTCTATTCACTCATTTTCTGTAACCGCTTATCCTGTTGGGGGTTGCGGAGGGCTGGAGCCTAACCCAGCTGACATTGGCCAAGAGGCGGGATACAGTACACTGAGGACAGGTCGCCAGACTATCACAGTGCTGACACATTGAGACAACCATTCACACTCACATTCACACCTATGGCCAATTTAGTTGTGACCTCTCCCAGTATGACTGTTGATGGTCATCAATCAACCCAATCTGCATGTCTGTGGGGAGGAAGCTGGAGTACCCAGAGAGAACCCATGCTGACACAGGGAGAACATGCGACAATGCTAATCACTGCACCACCATGTCACCCCGATCTATAGAAATAATTACTGATGAAAATGTACATGCCATGATTACCATCAGCAATGCTGAGTGAGTATGAATTGATCATTTAAAACTAGTTTTGTTGATCTGCTTGCAGCAGCTTGCAAGTTGTCGTAAAGTTAACGTTACCATTGTGAACATTGTGTTTGCATCCGAGACATTGGCCTCTTGGTAAGTTAGCTTAAAAGATAAAGGCAAAGCAGCCAAACAGTATCATTGCCCTTAATTGCTTCGTCAAACTCTAATGGTGAAAAAAGTATGTTTGTCACAAAATAAATCATACACGTATAGGAAGACATAGGCTCTACTTATGTTATCTATCTTATTCAATAACCTGTCGATTTTTGAAGAGGTTAGCGTGTGTCAGTGAGATGCTCTGCCAAGTTGGAAGTGTTAGCTCCCTTGGTGTGCGTAAGTTTAAAACATCTTTTACAGTTGGGCTTTGTAGTGTCCATGGGCCCTGACTGTTGGCTGTGTAAGCACAATAATGCCATATCCGCTTCTCATGTCTGCTTTGTAGACAAGCCATGGGCAGTAGACAAGAGCACTTGTACTCACAGACATTCCTCTGTGCCACTATGCCTGTAGGGAGCGGAGGCAAAGCGCTACACATACACAGCGGGGCAAAATTTGTGAGCAGCGCACCACTGTCGCATAAATACAACTCACAGGAAATACAGCTCTTATTAATTCCAACTCTGGTGTTCTTAAAGTACCGAGTAACAAAATGGGGTATTGCACCTAGCGGCAGGGTATTGCAACACCTTTCTGGTATCAGTATCACTATCGGCCTTCAGTTCTGGAGCATTGTGATGGCCATTTGTCTAACATTATGTTGGCCAAATTATTCATTGATTAACCATAAAAAAATGTCCATATCCAGATCCTTCGGGAATGAAGATAATTGTGCTGTAAGTTGCAGCAAGTTGCCTGTGATGGTAAACATGCCATGTGGCTACATTGCACTGTGGTCTCTTGAGTCCACTCCCACCTCTTGTATGCCGGACTTCTCCCAGTATGATCGTTGATGGTTGTTTAAAGATACAAACGCGCCCATGCTCTTTGATTCTTAGAGGCTGAGGCATCAACTTGACATTTACTGCTGAAGTTTTAGATTGTTGAAAATGTCCCAGCTGTCAGACTCAGTGTAGCTGGAAGGAACCCCAAACAATAAAAAAGAAAAATCAATCCAAATGCGATGTAGGGACAATGCCAGGTTTTTAACAAAGTTTAAGTATTGGAGGGTGGATTTTTCTTTTCGGAAGAGATATTAGATATATTTACACTCCATGTTACCAGCAGGATTACAGCTTGCTTTGAGCTACGTTAAGGACAAGTGCAGGGTCTCAGGGCAGTTAGAGTCCCAGTCCAGCTCTTAGAGACCCAGATGAGTGCAGTGCAGACACTACCCTACTCCTACAGCCACATCTGCCCCTGCTGCAAGTCAATGAAGTCAAATCAATAACCCATCTCCTTATAGCTCTGTCACTGTCTGTCACTCTGTCTATCTTGATTCTGTCTTTCTCTTCTCAGGCTTATTCTGTCTTTATTTATTCTGTCTTTTCATTTTATGCCTCTCTCTTCCTCTCACTCTCTTAAGGATCTATATTTTGAGTCTTCCTCTCTAATTTGATTCTTCTCCTTTCCAAGTTACCTCCCTCCCCAAGTCCCTCCCTCCCTTATCCCCTTCCCCTCCTGTGGTACTAACATTTTCTTCTTCTTCTCCTTCTCTAATCTCGTGCATTCATTGCCCACTCAGGTGGCACGCCCATACGAGGTAAGACTGCTGGGAGGACCAACATGACACAGTGGCCTGATTCCTTTTCAACCCCTGGTTCCTACTTGTCTCACAGATCTGGGAAAAAAAAGCAGCTCTGGGTGGATTAATCAATACGTGTTTAGTCCAAAAGACTTCCATATTGGTAACACTCATCCAGCTGCTGCAGATCTGCAGTAGGTGCAAGAGGGGGGAATTGGAATTGAGCAAGCAATTCATTATACTACGACTTTTAATCACTTCCCCTCTTCTCGTCTTCCATCCTCTCTTCATCCGTTCATTTTTCCATCCCAGCCTCAACGTTCACTCTATAACACAGAAATCCATCGCTTTCTTCCTCGTCATATTGTGATCTCTCTTTTGTACCCATCAGTTTAACATCATTTAGCTTAAAACATCTTTTTCAGTCTAAGGCATGACATGTTTACAACTTGTATTATTTCTTTGTTGCTTAGTTTGAGGTGACAAACTTTCACTTTTACCTCTGTTTGTTTGCTTTTTTTTTTTTGTGACCTGATTTTCTTTCCTTTTTGTTTTTTCTTTTTTTGTGGGAGGGTCTTGACCTAAGCTTGACCTGGCCTCTCCTTCTACCTTGTCTATATTTGCCCAATCAAACGTCCCAGTTTTGTTTTCCCTCCCAGCTGTTATTCGCTCAGCCTGAAAAGTCCAGATGGCGAAGACTCAGACACACTTGCAGACATTAGTGTGCTCAGGCACACGTAATCACACACACACACACACACACACACATTTCTCCATGATTTTTTACCATCATTTTCTCTTTTCTCTCTCTCATTACCGATAAAAAGCCCCAAACAACCACTTTTTTGATAAAGTTTTTCTGGGCGCTTTTTTGCCTTAATACCACACCATCTTTAAAGAAACTCTGGTTGACTTTTTTGACAGTTTTTCTGCTTTCAGGGAGCGAGCAAGCGTCGGTCCCTTCCCAAGGCTTTGCGTATGTCGTTCCTTTTTTTTTTTTTTTTTTCAAATCTGTGGCCTTGATGGAGGTTGGTGGATGTCTTTACCTCCTTACTGGGTGTGTTTTAAAATGACATCACACTCCTGATCCCATTGGTGGATCCGTAAAGTTGGGGATATCTTATTGCCATGGCAATATCTTTGTCACATTTTACCCTTGAAAAGTGAAACATGATTTGCTCCCTAATGTAACTGCATTTTAATTTCAGCAAAGGATTTTTTTCAAATACTGTATTGGTGACTGGATTTGTCCACATTTTGGTTGCTTGGTTTCTTTGTTTCTGTCTTGCATGAAGACTACATTCTCCGTTTTTCTAGGCTTTGTATCAGTGCTTTTTTTGTTTTTGTTTTCTTTCCATTTATAAATCAGGAAGCTGACCCTTGTTTTGGGCAGATTCTTGCTGACAGTGGTAGAAACGTGTTAATTTCTCCCAATAGATTTGGCTCCCCTTTTTAGCTCACTGTTCAGCTTGTTTTTTGTTTTTGTTTTTTTGCTGAAAACTCTTTCAGATTCATTTACTCTTTTATGCAGTTCTTACCATTTCTATGTTGGTGTATTTATGGACTGTACCCAATTATTGGATGTCTTCCACTTTTGTGTAATTGCTCTCTCTCCCTCGCTATCTTCCTGTGTGACTCTCTCTCTCTCTCCTTTCTCTATCTCCTCCTCCTCCTCTCAATCCCTCCATCCATCCAGGTGCCCTCCAGATAGAGATGAGTGAGGAGTCAGACCAGGGGAAGTATGAGTGTGTTGCCACCAACAGCGATGGGACACGCTATTCCACACCAGCTAACCTCTATGTCAGAGGTAAGAGGGGGATAAAAAAGCAGCCTTTCAGTCCAATTAGAGCACTTAGATTTAAAGGAACACTGTGTAAGATTTAGGGGGATTTAGAAGTGATGATTGCAGATTGAAACCAGCTGAAATTTCTCCAGGTTAAAATTCCTTCAGTGTTCATCATTCAGGAGTTTTTGACTGGGAGCCGAATCATCTGCTACAGTGGCCAAAGTGTAAACACAAAATGGCCCTATCTAGAGCCAGTGTCTGGTTTGTCATTTGTGGGCTACTGTAGAAACATGGCGATGCAACATGGAGATCTCTGTATATAAATATAAATAGCTAATTCTAAGATAACAAAAATACAACTTTTTTTTTTTTTTAGTTGATTTTACACTAACGAAAACATAATCATATTCAATCTCTGCCAATATATCACCCTAGATCCTACACACTGGATCTTTAAGGATCCCATCAGTAATGGATGTGCAGATTGGAGCCTCTATTCCTAGAGTTTTTTACAGAGACGTCCCCTGCTAGGAATGTACGTTTATCATATTAATGTGATTTGATGCCATTAAACCGGCTGCGTTTTATAATTCTCAGCTGTGGAGCCATAAAACAGGATCGTTTTTTTTAAAAGGAGAGCTCCTTTACATCAGCTCGGGCCAGGCTGAATGTTTCACTCAGGCTATTAATCTCTCTGCCCTCCCTTCTTAGCCTTTAGACCTCAGAGAAAAACCAAATCATTGTCTGGTTAAGACTTGTGTTTCTCCCCAAATCTGACAGGCATCTCACCTCCTCGGGCACTGTCTCTTTCAACACACACACACACATTCCCACCAAATGTTTGAATCTTGGAGACATTTTTATTCCCGTGGCCTTTTGCTCTGTTGTCTGCCCACCCCCGAAAATAAAATAAATAAATAAATAAAGGCTTTAAACAGCGTAGCATGCTTTCCTGACTCCAACATTGCTCCCAGGGATACGAAACAAACACACACACGACTGGATGCACAAAGCGAAACACACACATCTATGCTACGCTAAAAGAAAATATATAAACACACGTGCACACACACACACGGGCATACACACTCAGAGCAGAGGCAGTGATGTGCGTCTAACAGAGCTTGCAGGGCCAGTAAAATCTTGCAGTGCTGCTCAGTGAGTGTTTGACAGGCGGTCTATGGAGACTGCTTTAAACAGAGGGGCTTTCACAGACACAGCGGCCATCTATGGACTCTCTCTTTGCTCTCCTTATTTCTTTCTTTCTACCTGTTTCTCTTTCCCTCTGTCTGTTGCCACCTTACCATGCTCCTTTGTCTAACTTGTTTTCTCTCTGTGTCTCCTGTCTCTTCTCTGATATTTTCCGTTTTCCTCTCCTTTCTCTTCTCCTCCTCCCCCCGCCGTGCTCTGTCCTACCTCCCTCTGCAGAGCTGCGAGAAGGTTGGTACAGTAACGACTGTGTGGCTCTTTTGAGTCTCTCCCGAGAGTTTTCTTTTCTTCCATTAAACTGCCATTTGTGTTTGTGTGTTTGGGCTGTTTTATGTGCGGTACTGAAGGTTTAAACCTGCCTGTACAGTTTACTCCTTTGAGATATACTGTACCCTGCGTTGTTCCTCTTTTCTTTGTTCCCTTGTGAGTGCATGTGTGTTTGCTGTGAGGTTTTTTTTGTGAGTATCTTTTGTGTTTCAGTTCATAAAATATTTAATGGAGCGCACCTAAAAACACCATGAATAAAACATTTTGATATCACATGCGCCCTAGTGGTGATGTACCAGACTGTCTGAATGCTTGCAGTCTTTGAATGCCATAAAACTTCATCTCAGAGCACATGGAACAAAAAAAAAAATCATTCGACAATGTATAGACACTGATTGTTCTGCACTTTACTGAGCAACACATACATGAATTTCTAATCGCCTCTCTTCTCCTGCCTTCGTGCTTCTATTGCTGTCTGGTCCAGTACGTCGTGTCCCCCCTCGCTTCTCTATCCCCCCGGCAGACAGCGAGATCATGCCAGGGGGGAACGTCAACATCACCTGCGTGGCTGTGGGCTCCCCTATGCCATACGTGAAGTGGATGCTTGGAGCGGAAGACCTGACGCCCGAGGATGACATGCCCATCGGCCGCAACGTCCTGGAACTGACTGACGTACGCCAGTCCAACAATTACACGTGTGTCGCAATGTCGACACTCGGCGTGATTGAGGCTGTAGCACAGATTATTGTAAAAGGTGGGTTTTAGTCAGCATTTTCATGAGGAGGCGTATGAGTGAGGAGAAAAGAGCATGTGAACAAGAGAGGAAGTGATGGTTTGACCTTGCCTCCAGTGAGACTTTGGTTTTCAGAAGAGCGGAGTGTTTTTAAGAGTGTGGCCTTCTCTATTCTCTCTGTAAATGAGCACTATGAGTATGAGAAGAAAATTTCCATCATCAAAGCTCCCTTTACTCTGTTTTTCATAGGCCAAATATATTTATGTAAATGTTGATATTTTTGGCCCAAGGCCGTAGCCATGGAGTCAACACTGGGAGGGGACCAATCCTGCTGGGGGTTCTTACACTTTTTAGTAAAGTACCATTTATTTTCACAACAACAGTGTCAGCGCAAAATGATGTATTGACTTTAACTTTACGTTGACATGTATGCAAGAGTTATAAGTGATACGGTCATGAAGTTATCATTTACAAAAACTATCACAACTAAAACTGACGTAGTGTAACACTCAAATTACATTCTAGTTTTCCACTTTTTAATATATTTGAAAGTTATGAAAAAAGAAACAGAGCAGCTTTTGACAATGATTGTACCTCAAGCAACAAGACATGCATAGCTGCAGCCACACTCCATTCAAGCTCTACAAACTGTGCCCATCACCAGTAGGCTACAAGGCAAACCCACCAATGTGGTGATTATTTGATCTGTTACAATGGCACATTGTAGTGAATGAATATGAGGTCAAACACAGCGATAGTCCACTTTATTAATTTACCTCATTCATTTTGGTTGGACGACATAATTCATCTTACAAGTAACGAGATGTAACACACTTCATAGCTAGCTAAATGCTAACTTAGCATTTACTTCAGGGCTTCCACTTCTGGATCGAGGAGTAAACGATTGTGAATGTATAGTGGGTAAGTCTTGTAGCTGGTGGGCAGGTCACGTTGGCCACCGTACCTACTTGCGAGCAAAAGATTTTTTTATCAATAAATTGGGAGAGACATTTTTAGCATATTTGAATATTGTCCCCTCCAGTATATCTTATAAAAACTTCCTTGGTTTGGCATATATTTCCATATAGGTGCGCCTTGCTTGACTGTAGCAAATGGAGACACACTGTATGGTTGTTATTTTTACAGTCTATGTTGCTGACAGACACACAGAATTTTCTGTCAGAAAGGATTTGATCCTGCTCAGTGCCGTATCCGATGTACCTACCCATTGGTTCAGTCTGTCTGTGAAATGCCATGATTAGTTATGTCAGAAGCTGCACTCAAATCATGTAATACATGAATGGAACACGTGCAAACATTATTGGTCATTAAATGGTCATTTGTGACTTTTAGAGGGGCAGGCTTTGTGCTGACGCAAACCAGAGTGGAAGGTTTCAGAAATGCTGTTTTCTTTCACAGCTTAGCCATGATTTTTTATTCTAGTATTTTTAGAAATAAAATAATCGAGCCCGGGCTTTCTGGGAGTGGCTGAACACTTGTTTTAAAAGTCTGGGATGCAGCCCATGGATAGACAACTGTTAAAAATTAAGAGCAGCCAATGGCCATTTGTTTCAATTACATCAATTAAAAATTTTGTTGGCATTAAATCCAACGGGCATGAGGACACCTTCATGTGAGATTTTTAAAATGTCAGTAAGGGAAACAAAGATGAAGTGGCTCAGGGAGGAATCAACATCACAAGGCAATATTTTGACCCTGATAGAATTCAATGATAAATACATAATCTATCATTTCTTTGTTATAAAAAAAAGTAGTGATGAAAAATGTAAAGAAATTAAAAAGTTACTGATTTCCGAGATGTACTAAGAATTAGGAGAGTAATTTTCAAAAAAAAAAAAAAAAAAATCTGTTTTTAACGTTATATAAAAAGTCCTACGCTGAAGTATGTCTCACTTTATGACAACAGTTTTTTCTGGACAGCTCTGCCACATGAGCCTATTCATGTCTGAATACTTTTTTTATTTATTTATTTTTTTTTTTTTGGTGTAAAAAAAGGAACAACCGAATTATCATTGACAAATTGGAGTCTAATTTATTCACATTTTGGGAATTGCTCAAGAAAATTGACTTCTGTCTCCACTTCATGTGAGGCAAAGAATTGTTTTTCTCTGTCAAATTCAGTTTTCAGTAGAGACGTATTTTTGTACTTCTTAATGATCACTAAGTCTGAATTTAAATAAACGTTGTCAGTAAACAGGGGGCTTGATTTGAATTAAAATGAACAAGTTGTTGAATTTATTGTTTTGTGTAGTCTGATTATGTTTAATTTAATTCTTGTAATTGTTCTGTAGAGATTATTTTTATTGTATAATTGTAATACTGAGCTGGTCATGTTTTAACCAGCAGATGTTGATTTTTTTGTTTTTATGAGAGCACAGCAATGGTACAAAGTCTACCAGGGGATAGCTTGTAAAATCTTTCTTCTTTCTCTCAGCTCTGCCGAAGGCCCCTGGTACCCCTGTGGTGACGGAGAGAACTGCAACAAGCATTACACTCACCTGGGATTCTGGCAACCCTGAGCCAGTCTCCTACTATATCATACAGGTGTGTAACAGACAGAGAAACATTACTGCATGTGCACACAGGTTTTCTGAGACACTGAGCTTAAGATGGCCAAAGCTGCACTAGAATTTTATACGAACATAAACTGTTATTAGCAGCCTAAATCAGTAAGTAGGGCCACAAAATAAAAGAGTTCCTTGTCTCTCCTGCTGGTAATAAAATCTCTAAATTGCTCAAATGAAATCTGGTGTCTGGAGTACTCTCTGCCCACAAGGAGTAATGAATTGAAATATTAAGAATGAAACATGAACTGCTGCACTGAAGCAGTGACTTAAGACTCCATTCACAAAAGCCACATTAGATATGTGGTGTCTCACATTTCATTCTCTGTTTTTGCATAAATCTTGGATGGTTAATAAGAGCGTGGTGTCCTCTGTTTATTGGTGTCAAACTGATATATATACAGTAAATATAGATAGGCCTACGTGTAGAGCTTCCTCTGTATAAAGTTGCCTAATGCAGTTTTAAATCAGTATGTTCCTCTCTCTGTTTTCCTCTCTTGCTTCCTCTAGCACCGTGCCAAAGGGTCAGAAGATCCCTATAAAGAGATCGATGGCATCGCCACAACACGCTACAGTGTGGGCGGCCTCAGCCCATATTCCCACTACGACTTTCGGGTGGCGGCTGTTAACACCATCGGTCAGGGCCCCTCCAGCGAGGTGGTGGAGGCCCGCACAGCCGAGCAAGCCCCCTCTTCGCCTCCTCGACAGGTCAGCATTAGATTGGAGGAATGCAGTTTTGGTCCTGTATGAAAAACAAGTTGACTTTATGCTTAGCTGCAATTTGAAATCGAATCTATCATTGTTTCTCTTAAAACAACTTCACCACAGGCTTGGTTGTTATACAGTATGATTTGCTGCCTGTTATCATAAAAGTTTCACATGCATTTTTTTCAATCCGTCATCCAACAAAACAGGAACCTTGCATGCTTGAGTCTGATGTATTCTATTGTTCTGTTCATGACGGAAATTCACAATAAGAGGCAAAATGGAAGGACACATTTGCTCCCTTGCTTCTCTCCACTTGAGTTACCTCTCTAGGCTGTTGCCATTCTCAGCCCACGTCGTGCATTTGGCATTGAGGTTACCTGAGTTTAAGTGATACAGTGCAGCTAATAGATCGACTCCGTTGTAAGCATTATTATTGCTGTTGTGCCATTCTGGATAGGGTTATGTTACCTTGTCTTTGTTTCGGAAGATTTCAAGGACATTACCTCCATACATTTCCACTCCTTTTTCTTGCTGGCCCCCTTTCAACTTCCACCCTGTTCTGCAGGTTACGCCACATTTTCTTCATTGCTTCTTGGTCAAACAACTCTCTTAAGGCTTTTGATGGATGCACAAAAACGCAGCTAATTAAACCTGCTTCAAAAACTTCCAGGACAGATGACAGTTTTGGAGTTGGTGTGTAAATGTAATTGACACAATATGAGGTCGTAGATATTTTTAGACGTGTGAAAATTTCATACCAAACATACGGACTTGGTGCGCAAAGGCCTTATGTCTTAAGACGCCTTTATTTTCTCCAAAATAAACTAGCTCAGCCTTCTTCAACTGAACTTGCTCCAGTGAAATTACAGTATATTTTATTCGGGTGCAGTGCCGCTGAAGTTCTTCCTGTTTGCCCTGCAGGTCAGAGGTCGTATGCTGAGCACCACAACAGCAATCATCCACTGGGATGAACCAGAGGAACCTAACGGACAGGTGGTGGGCTACAGAGTCTACTACACCTCAGACAACACGCTGCCAGTCAACCAGGTGTGTACCAGCTTATAATCAGTCATGACTGGTAACTTGTGTTCTCTTCATGTGTCTTCTTGCATTCATGCATTGTGTTGTGTGTTGTGTGTTGTCGCAGTGGGAAAAGCAGATGGTGCGAAGTGCCAACTTTATCACCATCCAGGGTTTGACTCCTAACAAGACGTATTATATCAGAGTTCTTGCCTTCACGTCAGTAGGAGATGGACCCCTGTCCCAGGACCTGCAGATTATAGCCAAGACTGGAGGTAAGAGACGGGAAGCAAGACAGATATGCCACGCCATACTGAAAATGTAAACATTTACCTTCTTCAAGATTAAAAGAACAAAAATATATTAAACTGGTTTTACTAATCCTCTTTTACTCATCTCTGTAGTTCCATCACAACCTTCAGAATTTAAGGGTGAGGCCAAATCTGAGACTAGTATCCTGTTGTCCTGGGTGGCCCCGCCCCAGGGTGGCCCCGACAACCAGATCACAGGATATGAGCTGGTCTACCGACGAGCTGATGACACAGAGGAGGTAAGACAAGAGGGAGAGACAGACTGATTTGTAGCCCAGGGGACTGTTTATCTGGGCTACTAAATTCACAGGTGGTTGGATGGACAATGACCAATTAAAGGGGCAGTTCACCTCTAAATCAAAAATACATATTTTTCCTCTTACCTGTAGAGCTATTTATCAGTCTAGATAGTTTTGGTGTGAGTTGCAGAGTGTCAGAGATTTTGGCCATAAAGATGTCTGCCCTCTCCAATATACAGCAGTGTCTCTTTCCAAAAGTCATGACCCCATCACTCACGATAATTCACAGACCTTGTTGTGAGCAGTTTCATGTAGGAACTATTTTCTACCTGCCAACCGAATCACTGCACAGGAGAAGGTCTGTGGATTATCTTGAGTAACCGGGTCATGATTTCTGAAAAGAGACATTGCTGTTGGGTTTTTCAAATGTATTTTTCGGTGTGTTGAGCACCACAACCCGAGTGCCATCTAGTTGAGAGAAGGCAGACATCTCTACAGCCAAAATCTCCAGCACATGGCAACCTATAACAAAACTATTTAGATTGAGAAATAGCACTACAGGTAAGAGGAAAATATATTATTTTCAATTTTTGAGGTGAAATGTCCCTTTAAATGTTGGATGTAGGAAAGGTAGGGTGGACAAACAGATCAGTTGAACTTAATATTAAAAGTTAGCTCTATAAAGGATGTTATTTTTGAACACCCTGTGGAAATAGTTGATATAACCTTTTTCTGTTGTTTATCTCACAACCTACACGTCTTCCTCTGTCTGTCTCTTCATGTCCTTTCAGAAGAAAGTGAGCTTTGAGCCGACCACCTCCTACCTGCTGAAGAACCTGAAGCCTTTCTCCACCTACACCTTTCAGCTGGCTGCCAGGAGCAAGCACGGAATCGGGGCATATACCAACGAAGTGTCCATCGACACGCCGCAGACGCGTAGGTCCAACTAGAAATACTGCTGTGTGTGAGCATGTGTGTGAGCGTGTGTTTGAGAGAGAGAGAGAAAGAGGCTTCAATTTTGACAAGGCAAAAATAAGACCTGACACAACAACTGATCCACAAATATGTGAAATACCAGATCTGACCATCGCTGAGCATGTTACAAACACTATTTGATAAGACATTTGGCAGTTGTTGCTTTTTTTTTGCATTGTCACAAAGAGGCTGTCATGAATCCAGACAACTGACCTCAGATTTGATATTTCAACAAATATATCATCAAATAAATAATTTGCACAACTTAATTCTGCATATGGTATTAAAGTAAATCTTACAGATGATTGACAGCAAAATGAAAATTTGTTGGCTACCAATCTGAGGTCTGTAAGAGAATCAGTAAAAACAAGGTAAGAGGGTTTGTAGGTAGAGATGAGAACTCCATCGTGGATCACAGAGGCTTGGGTAGGCTGTAAGGACAAGTAAGTTATGGGCAGGTATGTTTGTATGTTACAGCTCTAGTCAGTGTTTTTGTGTTGCATCTCTTTTAAGTCATTCACTCGTTTTCATTAATCAAACATTTCTACCAAACAGAAGTTGACACCCATCATTCAGTATCTTCGTTCAGCCGCCATCTTGCTTTCTAGTCATTTTTTCGTAAGAGCTTTCTGTTCTCCAGTGTTTTGTTTTCATTTTATGTTTCTTTGTCTTTTGTTCTCTGTCTCTCGTCTGCTCAATTTCATCCCCATTCCTTCATGGCAAACCTCACTTCCTCACCTCTCCACCCACCCACCAATAACAACTCGCACACACAACCAAATTACATTTACCCAAAAACAAACCCCCTACTGTGCTTCCTCAAAACTGGCCAATCAGTTCCTTCAGCACCTCCCCAGGACATCACATGCACCAGTCCCAGTTCTACCAGCATCCTGGTAAGTTGGGCTCCACCTCCTCTGGAGTTTCAGAACGGCATCATTACAGGATACTCCATCCAGTACGCCAACACCGAGGGCATCAAAGTGTCTAAAAGAATTGATGGAATTCCTCCGGAAAGTTCTCCGTATCTACTGGAAAACCTGGAGAAATGGACTGAGTATGGCATAACGATACGGGCACAGACGGAAGCTGGGGATGGACCGGAGAGTTTACAGCTGCTAATCCGCACAGAGGAAGATGGTATGTTCCCAAACAAACCCCCCTTGCCTGTCTTAGGATGGTCCGCCCCACTAACAATGGCTACTTCACTAACATAGCGCTAATGGGCTCAAAGCACCCTAAACTAACAGCAAGTTTCTTCCACTGGCCAGTAAATGCATTTGTCTATCCCTGAGCTGCAATCTAAATGGATGATGCTTTTAGGAACAAACCCTTCAGTTTTGAAAACCTCTCCTTTGTTCCTTCATAACCGCCAGACACCTCCAGCATCCGGAAATCTCCTCCTGCTGCTCCCTCACCACTGCTTTCTCTTGTCAACAGCAACCCTTTTTTCTCCAGCAGCCGTTTTTATCCTCTTTTTTACCAGCATCTTTTTTCCGCGCTTCTCCTCTTTCTTACAAAATCCCCTATTTTTTGGGAAATGGGATGGTTGGGCTTTCCCACTATATTCTCCACTAACAATACCAAAACAAACCCTTTGGCTGTAGCTGTACCTTTCCACACCTTGGTTTTTCTCACTGCCCTTCCAACTCCTCTCCAATTATTTGCATATTTTAAAGTTTAATCATTGTATTTTATTGTGTCTTGACTAATACATAATATTTTCAGCAATATTTTTATGATATTCATGCATAACAACTCAAAGTCCCAGTGTCTCCATTTTTTGCTGTTTGGAGACGTTCCATTTTTTTTCTTTCAGTAGATATGTATGTTTTTTTTCTCTTCTTCTTCTTTTGGGGAGAAGTGTAGTTCTTGGCAGTACGAGAGAGGTTTTTCTTGATAACAGTATTTTCTCTTTGACTGCCTGCCACTGTTTATCTGCCCGTGGCAACAAATCCTTTTCTATCTGCCATTCTTATCTTTCTCTACATTTGCTTCTTATCCTCCACTGCTTTTTTCCTCCATGTTTTTCCTCAAGCACTCACATTTTTTACTATTTTGACTTTTTTTCCCAGACATCAGAGCAGTTTTAGACTTTTTGGAGGGTTGCATTTTTTTTTTTTTTTTTCTTTTTACATTTTTTCAGCTTTTGGGTATTTTTAATCTGCCCCTGAAACCAATATATTTTTGATTAGAAAAAGTGAAGGCCTTAACTTGAGAGGTTTGAGTGCCCATCCTCTGTGACCCTTGACCTCTATCCCAAAATGCATTTTTAGTTCCAAGCGGTCCTCCGCGAGGGGTGGAGGCAGAGACTGTGAACGCCTCGGCCGTTAGGGTGAAATGGCGAGCGCCGGCGCCTGAACGGCAGCACGGTCAGATCCGAGGTTACCAAGTCCACTATGTGAGGATGAACTACGGAGAACCTCAGGGTCAGCCGTTCATCAAGGACATCCTCACAGAGGACTCTCAGGTAAGACTAACATATATTCTCTAATACCTGAAGATCAAATGGACTGTTTAATAGATACCTCATTAAAACCCATATTTTATATGAGCAGTATTTTCATAATACAGTAATATTTATTGGAAATGAATATGTGAAGTTCACAGTTTCATTAAAGCCATGAGGAAATCATAAGCTCCCTCAACAGATGGGTTTACCTGGATATATTTTATAGATGAAAGTGGCATGTGGCCATTTAGGTATTTTTGTAGATAAGATAAATATTTAGCCAGATTTTTTTCTTAATCTTTGTTTGTACTGCACAACACACACACAGTACAGCAATCTGTCACAGCTTCCGTATCATCTTCCTCTCATTCTCAGGAATGATGAATGATGCCATATAAATTGATAAATTGACCAGAAACCTTCCTTAAAGCTGGAGTGCTTCAAGTACAGCATTTTGGCCGTCGCCATCCTGGATTTTTGGAGCCAGAGGTGACCATATTTGGACAAGAGTGTGGAGCTAACCCTAATGCTAGCTGCTAGCTTGGTTAGCACAGTGCATTTACAGCTGCGATAATGCTAATGCTAATTTTGGCTAGTTAAAAAAAAAAAAAAACGGGCTTAAAATCATTAAAACCAAATGTTCTTACCGAAAAACAATAATTTTGTTTTGTTGAAAAAAAAATTACAAACCCCCATACAGCTGTCATGAATGGGAAAACTGGCTAAAGAGACCAATATGTAACCTCTATATGTAAAGGTCTTGCACTCCAGCTTTAAGATTGTTCTAAACAATCATCTTGACATTGTAGCCGAGAGTTAGCTCAGAAGATCAACACCACTCTCATATCTGCCCATTAAATATGAAGCTTCAGTCAGAAGATTGTTAGCTTTGCTTAGCATAGCATAAAGACTCAAAGAAGGGTAAACCATCCAAAGGTTACAAACTCTGCCTACCAGCACCTCTAAAGTTCACTAATTAATAATTGAGACATTAAATCTTGCTTGTTTGATCAAACCGTCCTCACAGTCTTTGCTTAATATTTAACACACAGACATGGGAGTGGTATCTAACGTCTCATCTAACTCTTTGGCAAGAAAGCAAATAAGAATATGTCAGGCTTTTCACACAAATGTATACTTTTATGATGGTAAAGATGGTGCATTGGACTTAAATATGAAGTCTTGAAGATCATATCCCAAATATTAAGAACTGTGATTGTCTCTCCTTTCTCTCTTTTCTCCAAACTCTTTCATCGTTTAGTGGGAAAACAATGACTCAGCTGAATATGTGAGTAAACCCTTCTTTAAGCCTATTATTTAATCGTGATAACAACAAAGCACTGAGAGCAGATGAGTCATATTTATGAGATTGTAGCTTTAAAATCTCCTGTGACCAGAGTGGGGGCTTAAAACCCAGCAGGAAGTCCCTTTTTCATTTCTGCAGTGTGTGTTCTCCAGGATTTTTAATAAAGGACGCTGGAAAAACACACATAGATAACCGATGATGTGAGTCATTTGCGGTTGTTGCCAAAATGATAATATAATTTATGCATTCCGCTGGCCAAGAAATTGAGAAAATATTGTCTTTAGTGTTTAGATGGTGACAAAACTAGATGAGTTTGGAGTGTCTGAGTAGTAAAATGACATTGTGTGTTGACCACATTTTGAGCTCTGGTGGGATGATTTGGAATTCGTAGTTGTTTTGAGTATTGTTGAGATGATCACAAACCATATCCACTATATATTCTCCAAAAGCAGCAGCTAGGTGGTCTCTATATACAGACTACATTCAGTGAATGTAGAGTCTGTAGGCAAACCCCGGAGATCTTGCCTCTGGAAGAAGAGCGGAAGAGCCCTGGTTTCCGGTTGTAGGCTGTTTGTAGTCCGCATGATATTGACCAATCACGTTTGAGCTGGCTGCAGTTGTTGCCAGGTTAAACGGTCCGTGCAGTGAACAAACGCGGCGAAACATAATTGGCGTCACTGCAAACTCTGAATCCATCGCAATGGTTCAGCATATTTACTTATATATAAACAGAAGTCGGAAACGGAAATTCGTCTCCTCCGCCCCAAATCAAACCGGAATGCCAAAAAATGGGGGGTCTGCCCCCAGAGGCTGTATCGCCGTCTGCTGGAAGTCAGACGCCGAATACAGCCGATGGGTTCTGAGAATGGCAGCTAGGTGACCAATGAAATGAGAGAAACTAACTTCAAAACATATTTCCTGGCCTGACAAAAGTACCGTTGGTGTAGAAAAGACTTGAAAAACTGTCTGCACAGTTAGACTGTCAGACAAAAAGCACAGAATTGCACCTTTTCGACCGGTTTGACCCAGACATTTTTATTAAGTAGAAGCTCATTGTCCTGAGGGCACACAAAAATAACTGCCTTTTGAAGCTGACAGCGCTTTTTGTTGTTCTGCAGGAGGTGGTTCTTGGGGACCTGAAGGCAGACACTTCCTACTCTGTATCAGTGGGGGCTTACACTGCCAAGGGCGATGGTGCTCGCAGCAAACCGGTTACAGTCTGTAGCGCCCTGCCACGTAAGTGTGTCTGCACAGACTCTTCCACAAACATACAGAGAGACAAAGACAGATACACTAATGATCGTTGAGACTAAAGCATCACTAATGATCGTTAGAGGCCATTAAATCATTGAATTGGTTTATGTCTCACTCTGTCACACCTTGAGATGCCAGAAAAAAGCCAGTCATTTTGTGCTATATTAATCATATTTTGCAGTTTTGCTGGAGGTTATGAATAATGTGCTTTGTAATTATCCTCTAATTATCTTTTCATCATTCTCACTCTCTCTTTATTTCCCCTCTTTTTAGTGCCTGAGAAGCCCAAACTGACGGTGACTGCCACTGATTCAGGTACTGCTCTGCTTCAGTGGTACCCACCTCCCAACCCCCCCACCCCACTCCTGGGGTACCGCCTCACCTTTGGCCGCGTCGACGTCCTTCCCTTCACGGTGGTGGAGTTCCCCACCAAAGAGAACCGCTACACTGCTCAGGACATCCACAAGGGAGCTAACTACGTGTTCAGACTCTCCTCCCGTAACAAAATGGGCTACGGAGAGGAGGCTGTAAAGGAGGTGACTACTCCCGAAGACGCCCCAAGTGGATACCCAGAAAATATTATCTTAGAGGAGGCGTCTGCCACGTCCCTCCGGTTGGTGTGGAAATCAGTCCCACTAATTGAGCAAAATGGGAAAATTCTGAAGTACTCAGTCCTGTACAAGGACATAAACAGCAGAGGGAATGCCTCAGAAGTTGTGGTGCCCACTCCAGGGTCCAGTGTTTTGTTGGAGGGTCTGAGTGCAGATACTGTGTACGATGTCAGGTTGCGCGCAAACACAGCTGTCGGCCCTGGGCCGTACAGCCCCAGTGTCCAGTTTAGGACGCAGCGGCTAGACCAAGGTAGGACTCACTTTCTAACAACCCATCTTCATTGTCTCAGGATGCAACACATGCTTCCTAACAGCACATCTGTGCATACATTGTGCACACTAAGTCCCACTTGCACACACACACACATACACACACTCAGACACACAACATCTGGCAACAACATCCTAAGTGTCCTTTTTCGTTGTCTTGTCACTGTAGTCTTAGACCAAACGTCCTTTTCCCAAAGCAAGGTAAGAGTCTTGGGTCTTGGGCAAGTATCCCTGTCCAGTCACACTCACTGTGTGTTGATCAGAGCAGATAGGTAGCTTGAGACTGGTACTAGAGAATGATACACAGGTAAGGCCATTACTCTTGGTTCAGTGGAGAGATTAACTGCAGTCATATTCATGTTTATTTGTTTTATATTTTTTTGCACCTTAGTTTTTGCCACCAACTTCAGAGTAAAGGCTGCCATGAAGAACTCCGTTCTGCTGTCTTGGGAGATCCGAGACAAGAACCCTGCCCAGCCGTTCACCGTAAGTACATTTGCATTTTTTTTCTCATGTTCAAATGTAGTCAAATAGAAAACAGATTTCAAATAGGCCAGGCCTCAAATGGTTTAAAAGTAAATAAAGGCAGGTTGAAAATAAAGGATGGGGGGAAAAGAGGGTAGAAAAAAATTACCTGTTCTACAGTGACTCACTAGAAAATCAGCATCTTTTATTGCATTATTTTCAAGCAGTTATTTTGCCTATTTTTCTCTGTCAGGTTGCTCTCAATGAAACCCAACACTGTCTGTGTGATGATTGATAAAGTCTTGTAGGCACATAATGCCCCTTGAACTGCCGGAAGACTTTCTATGTTAAGTAGAGAATGTGTTGAGTCAGGCTGCTCTCATTCCCCATTTCCTACTTATACATAATGCACTATAATTAGTATATATCCCATGTAATTGTGAGCCAGCGGGCTGTTATCACCATAAATCCGTGGCCTACCAGGCACAGGCCTAGGGGCCCAAAGTGTCAGGGGCCCCCAAGGCCTGCAAAAAAAGTTACTCAAATTACCAACCAAGGAGAGACTCAAAACAACCACAGAGACACATAACAACCAAAAAAAGACACAGAATTACCTAAAAGAGAGACAAAACCACCAAAAGATGCATAACAACTGAAGAAAGACACAACACGACAACAAAAAAAGGCAAAACCACCACAAAGCCAGTCTGTCTTGCTCTTGTGTACGAGAAGTGGTTGGGTCTTTTGCATGTTTGTGCCCTATCTCATAATCCACCCGTGATCACCACGTGAACTATGCTCCACAGTCTGTCTTCCCCCATATGAGGGAAGCAAAGAAGGAGACGTAGCATAAAGAGAGACAAAGTCCATGTAGAAAGGCGATCAGCGTGGTGGACAGGTCAGACAAACACAGGACTTTGACCCAGGAGACTGGGGTTTGTTTCTAGTGTGAAACCAAAAGTCAACATTGAGTTACGTTAAAGACATAATGTCATGTCAATATGTGGCATGACCGTGATTCATTTTCCTAAGTCCTAAGGAGCTTATTCATAGGATGTTATGTGAACTGTTTTTGATACATTGGTTCAGTTTACAAGACAACAGGCAAAAACATTGAGACTTTTTAACTTAAGCATAATAACATAGACCAATAAAACAGCTACAAGCCTGGTTCTTTCTCTTGAGCTAAATAAAGGCATTGAGAACTACTTTATGACAGTGTGTACCACATTGTGTGTTTGACCCGATGTCACATTTGTTTTAACTCTCAAACTTTGTGACCCATCCTGCATCCAGATCCTGTATGGAAAGGGCCAGTCTGTGGAGGTGGATGGAAAGCAGACTCAGAAGCTGATCACGGGCCTCGAGCCAGACACCCAGTACTCCTTTCTGCTCACCAACCGGGCCAACAGTGCCGGGGGTCTGCAGCACCGCGTCACCGCCACCACCGCCCCTGACATCCTAAAAAGCAAACCCACAATAGTGGGAAAGACCAACGCAGACGGGATGGTGACTGTGCAGCTACCGACTGTGCAGACCACAGCCAAAGTCAGGTAGTGACGATGGATGAAAGTGAAGAGAGTGAGAGTGAACAATTTGTTTTGTTGTAGAGTGTGGATGGGAGTATTTTTAATAGTAACCTGTGCCGAATTTGCTCCAATTCCACTTCCTCCTCCTGCTGCTGCTTTTCATTTATTGGTCTATCAGGAGGGATTTCTCTGAGTTGGCAGCAAAACAAGTCTGAGAACTCCCACAACAGGCCAAATGAAAGCACAAAGCTGATAATCTCATCTGCCTTTTTTATAACCAAGAACAAATATAGATACCATGTGGAAGCAGCCTTAAAGCACATCCTGAATCACTCCACTGCTGCTCACATGTTCTTACAGCCATTTGGTTGTAGTTTGTCCCCATCACATCAGGAGTGTTTAGGGGGTTCTTTTAGTTCCCAACAGCATTTTGCTCTTTCAGTGTCTATAAGAGTCTCTCCAGTTTTAGATGATCCAAGATAGTAACACCAACTGTAATGAGCTGAATGTTGAAATTACTTAGTGACAATAATAAAACACACTGTAAGCATTTTTTGGGGGAGATTTCTGCATTGACCACCTTATCTCTCCCCACTCTAAATGCAAAACTGAAGCACATAGTAGGCAAATCTCGCTTGCTGTTTCAGCATTAAAGCTGTAACAATTTTTCTCACATCTTACATAAATAAGCTCTTTTCCACTGTACCACTCGGCATTGTAGCGTATGCTCAAGTGCAAGCACGGAGCACTGGGGTGAGTCATCTATTGAGGACACATGGATGATTTTGGTGTCTGTGCCCTCATCGCTTGGCTGGTGCTCATGGTCTGCCTGCTTCTGAAAAATTCCCCTACTCCAGTGGTATTATTGTTTTTGTCTCACACGTGGCTTCAGACATGAATGTCTGTTCCAAAAACAACCATACTGTTTAGATTAGGAGTGCGGTGTCACAGCTGCTGCTGCAGCAATATACTGTGTTACTGATACAATACTCCATAGTTCTTCAAAGCAGGGCATTAAAGGAATATTTTGACATTTTAGGAAATAACCTTACTCACTTTCATGCTGAGAGTTAGTTGAGAATATAAACTCTTAGCACTTGAAACAGGTTGGCTGGCTCCGTCTGAAGGTAACAAAATCCACCCACATTCACCTCTCAAGCTCAATAATTAAACAACTGAACTAAACTAACTAAATAAAACATTAGGTGTTAATTAGGGAGCAGATTGTGTTACCTTCGGACAGAGCCACGCTAGCTGTTTGCTCGTGTTTCTAGTCTTCATTAAATTCGGCTTTATTGTCATTGCACGGGTACTGAGTCAACAAAATGCAGTTTAACATTGAAGCAGAAGCAATAAGAAAAGCTAACTGGCTGTAGCTTAACATTTATCCCTCTGGCATTAGAGAGGTGTCAGTCTTCTGTTACCCATATTTTATGTTTAATTCCAAAAATGTCAAACTGTTCTTTTAAATGTCAGAGCACTGTAGTTTCTCCATGATGTTCAAGAATAATCCTAAAGCCCGCACATGTTGTTTCTCAGGGGTTACTACATCGTGGTGGTGCCACTGAAGAAGCAAAGAGTAGGAAAGTTCCAGAATCCGTGGGAGGAGCCCGACCAGATGAACCTGGATGAGGTCAGTAACACAGCAGACAGGAGCTTGTACCAATATGTAACTAAATAATGGTCATTATAAAGAGCTTATTATAAGGAGATACTGATGCTGAGGGAAATGATAATGATGACCAGGGGTAATGGCAATGATCATCAACTCATCAGATGGATAGTCAGTTTTCTCACCACAGGGTTGTGACCTTTCTGCTTCACACTTTATCTTGTCTAAAGATTATTGCTGTAGTAAATATTGAAATAACCATTTTCTAGATAGATGCAACAGATCATTTTTAGACTGAACTTTTTCATTTATTTGCAAGTTTCCATCCCTTTGTCATGTATAAAAGATATGAAAGCTCATTTCCACCAGTGTGATGAAAAGAAAAGATCATGTTAGCCATTATAATTGTCATTATAGTCATTATAATGACATTACTGGCCTTTTTAGTAGCTTTTATTTTAGATTTATTTATTTATCTATTTATTGAATGAATAATTTTAAAACTGAGAACTTTTAATTTTGCCGGTTTTAGACATGAAACAATACTAACAAATTTTGACAAAGTGTCATTATTTTAAGATACTAAGGTATTATTTTGGAAAGAATGACTTTGGATCTCAAGGTTTGGTGTGTGATGGGACAAAAAAGATCCTGTTAGAATGACAAACTTTCTCAGAATGATCATTTGGTATTCTAAAATGATGAGTTAATACTGTTTCTCAAACTCTGGAGACATTAAGTCAATATTTCAAGAGCATTTCTTATTATTTTGGCATACTAAGTCAGTATCTTAAGACAAGTTTTTTTTCTATCTTAAATATGTCATTACTTTGAGAAAGTTTGTCATTATTTTGAGCTACTAACTCATTTTGAGAAAGTTTACCCTTATTTCAGGAACGTTTCTCAGTATAATGAGGAAGGTCTGGTGTGTCAAGGGGAAATAAAGATCCTGTAAGTCATTATAATGAAACACTTTCCCAAAATAATAACTTAGTACCTTAAATGAAAAAATATCTCAAAATAATGACAAATTTTCTAAAATGATGTCTTATTTATATCAAAGTTTTGAGAAACTAGGGTTAGGGCTAGGTTAGGGTTCTCATTATTTCGAGAAAGTTTCTCATTATAATGACTTATGGGACCTTGTTTTTTCCATTACACTTGCGGATATGGGCTTCCTTAGTCAAGAACAAGAACTGACTGCAAAGGGTTGTTAATATCAGCTTTAAAATTATTGTCAAAACACAAAAATCCCCCAGTTCATACCAAACAATCTCACAAAAGCCTTCAGTATAAGATTATCAATGACCATCTGACTACGTTTTGCCAATTGTCAGTATACCCTGTGTATAGACTGATAGACGCACACACATTTTGACATGTCAATATGTTTCTAACATTGTCCTATTTTTATTTTAGATAGTTTTTTGTGTGTAAATTAATTATCTATGCAGACTTTGTTTGCAAACTCCCTTGTCCCAATGTTCCCCTTGATGGGCGATGGAAGTATTTTGAAATAAACTGAATTTTCAAGTCACATAAACAAAGAGCAGCGCTGCTGAGTCTCCTGGCAGCCTCTATTGTATCAGACTATTTGTGTCTTATTATGTGAAGGTAGACGACCTGGCCATCCATTGCCTGTTCAATCCAAACAATACTCTCATATAACACTTCCCATTTAATTCCACTTCCTGCCTTTTACTAAAGACTTCATCACCTCATTATGCTGCTCTGAAAGCAAATTCATGTGTGTGAGATTAGTTTCAATAGAGTTTTTATGGTGCCCTCTGTCTCAGTGGATAAATGTGGTGGCAATTCAGTTGATGATGAAGACATTTGTGCTTAGGTGATAATGCCCTATACAGCCCATTGTTCCTTCACTGATGAGGGTTTTTGTGTGAGGGAAAATTGCCAAAAGTCTCCTTCTTTCCAAGGAGTTTTTTTTCTAAATTAAGAACCTCAGGAATACAATCTCCAAATATTGAGCAGATGATAGGAAAATAGTATTAGCATTGCAGAAAGATGACTGCATTGCTTTTACTGTATCAGAGAAATTAAATGTGGAATTGCAGTGTCTAAGGGCATAGAGTGATGGCTTTGATGTTGCACTTTGTTTGAACTTGGCATATGAAAATTAGAACCAATTTCTGCTTGATTTTCCCCCATTTTCTATAATTTCTCCCTCTTTTGTCAAACTTTTTGCTGCCTTTGTGTCAACTCTCTATTTCCCATCCTCTGCTTTCCTCCCTTTCAGCTCCTGAAAGAGATCAACAGGACCAGCGTGAGTCGTGCCCTCCGCATCCGCAGACAGGCTGGCCAGTCAGATCCTAAGGCCTATGTCTCTGCTCACTTCAAGTTCCTCCCCATGGAGTTCACACTAGGGGATGGTCGAAACTACGGTGACTTCCACAACCGTCGTCTGCAGAACGGACAGGAGTATGTTGTCTTCGTGCTTGCGCTGCTTGACCTCTCTGAGAATGTGAGTAAGAGGTGCAAACATGCCCACTCAGTTCAGCCATCTAAATGCAGTCTTGTCTAAATGCATAAAACCACGTCTCCCTCCAGACTATGTACGCCACTAGTCCTTATTCTGATCCCGTGACCTCATCGGATGTCGATCCTCAGCCAATCGTCGACGAGGAAGAGGGTCTGCTGTGGGTGGTGGGGCCTGTGCTGGCTGTCATCTTCATCGTCTGCATCGTCATCGCCATCCTCCTCTTCAAGAGGTAAGGACAGCATGATGGACAAGAAAAAAAAAGTTTGATTAAGTATTGGGATTGGTGAGAAAAGGAGCAGCAAAAAAAGAGACAGTGTGACAGCTTACGAGTTTTGGTGAATACGAGAGAAGGAAAAATAATTAGAAAGGCAGCTTACGTCTTCACAGGACAATAGATACTCCACAGGGATTTATTTATTTTCCTTTCTAATTTGGCTTCTTGCTTCTCTGTGTTTTAAAGCAAAATATTTTTGAGGGCAGTATAATATATGCCAGCTATATTTTAAAATATTCCTCACCTGTAGTTGGGCTTCTCTATCTTAAGCGGCAGTAGTCAAATTGTCTTCGACAGAGCAAGGTCAAAAACGAGAAATAATGTAAGTTATCTCTCAGAGAGGTACGCACGATTTATAGTCCTTCTCAGAAGTTATCTGAACTATTGCTGTAGGGCAGCAGTTTTCAGAGTGCGACATTGTGGGCCCCAAATCAGACAAAGTGAGACAGCATTCATTTATTTTTGTCAATAATAACAACGCATTAAGCTGTATTTTGGATAGCTGTACAAACACTGTAGCAACATCTGCACATGTGCACAGTTGGTAAATACTGTGTGTCCGACTGTTTAATGAGATATAACAATAGCCTGGAGCAGCCGTATTGGATTTTGAGGTCAGGATTGGTGAGGTCCCTCCAACTTTGCGAGTCAGAAATCTGAGTTAAGGGGACATTCCGGTCGAAATTCACAAGTAGTAACTCAGAAATTCCAGTGCAAATGGAGCGCACCAATAGCTTTGGGCCTCTTGAGTTTCTTTTTTTTTTTTTTTTAGCCCAGTGTTAAGTAGTTTGCATTTTTGGCAATTATCAATTATCTCTAAGTAGTTCCTCTTTGCACTGTACTTATGGATGTACAGATTACTGGATTATTTCTGTACTTAAGGAAATTTAAACAAACCTGATCATTCTCAGTCAAGTTTTGGATTTGTAATGAAGTCATTTTTTGTATGATTTCTAAGCTTATTTATGGATTTATTTGTAATGTAGTCTGATGTAATGATATTATTGGAAAAGTGTAAGTCACACTAAATTTGACGATATGTGCATTAAGGCTGTGTTCAAAACCAACTGAGTTATCATTCAGAGAAAGACCATACATTTTGACACAAATTTCTGCAAATCTGACGCTAAGAATTTGAAAAAACACTTTATTTGCCTCACATGACACCTCTGCCCCCACAACTCACCCACACACCCCTCAGTTTGAAAACCTCTGCTATAGGGGCTTAACAGACGTAGACCTCAAACTAAATGCAAAACCTCAGAACCAAGCTGAGACTGAACAAAGCCCAGCTGCTTCATTATGTCTTTCCATTATTTATGCAACATACAGGACTAACATTAAGGTATATTTATTGCTATTCCGTGCTGCTGCAGGCGACACTATTAACTTCTCAATCTGTTTTTGTTTACTTATCACGTCTGAGTTGAGCTCACAACTTCTCATTGAGCTGTAATTGTGTGTTTTCTGTAATCCCTTCTTAAAAATCTATACACAGGGAGCACAGTTAGCCAACATAACAGATAGGGAAAGATAACATTCTCACTCATTAGCATTATTCATGATAATCATCTGTTCTGCTGGCTGGAGCTTTGTTAATGCACATGAATAATTGCTGTGACTGATGTGGCATTGCATAATTATTAACCTTGATGGTAATAATCTAATGTTCATAGGCCCCTGAGTGTAACCTGTGGTGATCCACCGCCATTAATGTCTCACTTGTGGCTGAGTTGCACTTTACATCATATTTCCAGTATGTTTTTATGAAGTAGATGTCACAGTAAGAGAATGAGCTGGGAGGTAATGTGTATGCAGGGCTGAGAGTTTTTTGTCATTAAGCTTTGCATTGGATGTTTATCTCTGTGTGTATAGGAGGTGCTATTCAAAGGTACAGTGTGTAGGATTTAGGGGATATATTTGCAGAAATGGAATATAATAAAAATAAATATGTTTACGTAAATGTATAATCACCTGAGAATTGCTGTTTTTGCTTCCATAGAATGAGCCGTTTATATCCACTTCTTTTAAGGAGACTGCCATGTTGCAGAGCCATGTTTCTACAGTAGCCCAGAACAGACAAACCAAACACCAGGGTCATTGGTGTTTTCGTGTTTTAGCGTTTTCACATTGGCCATCTTCACAACCGGTTTAAATTACTGGATCCTTCTGTTTCAGAAAGGAAGAGACCTTTGCAGATAATTCAGCTTCCGGTAAAAATCCTCTGAATGTCTGGATGTTAAGGTATCAGAGAAAAAAGTTGAGCACAAATTAGCAGGTGCTGGGCTAGCGACCTGTGTTTAAATCACCAGGTCTATTTGTCTTGGAGAGGAAGCGACCCCTGCAGATAAATTGGCTCCGGTAAAAACCTCCCGAACAATGAACACTGAAGGAATTCTGCTTGGTGCCACTAAATCCCCCTTAATCGTTCACACTATACCTTTAACTTATTTAACACTGCAATAAGAAAGAGATTAGTTTTAATGATAGGGGTAGAACGATGAGTTCCACTTTGCTTTAGTCCCTGTTGTTTTTTGATCGGACACTAATGTTATTCATCCTTGTCTGTCCTTTTATCTGCTCCTCTCCCTGTTTGGATCCAGCAAACCTGACAGGTAAACAAACACTACCTATTACCATTTCCTCTGTCCTACAGGGGTATTTTCCTTGAAAAGCCTTTGCAAAGAACGATTTAGATAATAGATCCCAGTAGAGTCAGGATTACCTTGATGTTTCTTTGATGATTGCATAGTAACCTACAGTGCACTGGATGAAAATATGAGGCATAAAAGCAAATTCTAAGTATTGAGAGTAGGGAACAATGACAACTGCGCTGCAGGAGTTTGTTCATGTCAATGATTTGAGCTGAAAGATACTGTAAAAGCAAAGAAAATGGGAGACTAGATGTCACTTTTAACTCCTGGGAGGCTCTGTGAAAAAAGGCAGACTTCCACCTCCATCCCAGACATCGAGCCCGTCATTAACATATAAAAAGCTGCAACACTAAACCAGCAATTTGAAACAGAAATTTCCCCAGAATTACAGCTATCCTTCCCTGTAAATGTCCAAGGAGCAATTTTATGCGGCTTTTCTCGGAAATTTAACATTCGCACAAATCCCCAAAAATTGAGTTTATGCGTAAAATTACAAATATTTTTCCAGATTCAGCCTTTTTTATGCATTAAAAGGTTCAATTCATGCAGTTAAGGCACATGTAAACTCTGCGTGTTGATCTGTTATTCCAGGAAAAGGGCCGAGGCTGAAGGCAGGAAGGGCAGCTTCCCCTGCAGCAAAGCCATGTCATCTCACCATCCCACTGATCCTGTGGAGCTACGCAGAATCAACTTCCAGACTCCAGGTAAAGTAGACACACCAGGATACACATATGGACAAACACTGTGTAGTTTGATGTGTGATTGTTAAAATATCAGTGTTTATAAGATTAACTGTGGTGTTGTTTTCCTTTCAGCCTACCGTGTATCAGTGTACCGCGGTTATCGCCGTTTGTCAAGTTAGTTGGTCTTAGTCCGCCATAGATCTTCTCTTCTTTCTGCTGTCATTGTTTTCCTTCTTTCTTTTCTTTCCCATTTTCATGCTAACTAACCTTCCATCCCATATAGGATGAAGCTGCTTGAATTGACAACATTTCATCAAAATGCCTCTGGAATACTTCTTTAAAAAAAAATACCAATTTTTTTTTTTTTTTTTCATGCTAAATTTTTAACCGCCTGTGTCATAGTCTATTTTTTGTCTTCACCAGCAGTGTGCATATACTCTGAGGACATGTTATTGTGCCTCAGTAACTTTCAGAACACGCACATTGTTCTTGCTGTCTGCCTGGAGAGAAAATGGTCACTTAACAAAAAAAGAAAAAAAAAAACACCTCCATTTGCTTCCTCCGCCAACTGTGGACAGAGCACTAAACAACACCACCTCTGAGAAATCCTTACTCCTAACATTTTCCTCCAAAAGACTTTAGTCGTACATATATCCAAATGGCCTCTTTTTCTATTTCTGTGCTCGGCAGGCATGGCAAGTCACCCGCCCGTCCCCATCTCTGAGCTGGCAGATCACACTGAGCGCCTCAAGGCAAACGACAATCTCAAGTTCTCTCAAGAGTACGAGGTAGGAATGCTGATTATCTGTCCCTGAAAATCTTTAACTTGGGAAATTCATCTGGCCTTGATGCAGTCGCACGCGCGTTTATTGTCGACTCGTCATGTTTTTTAGGCTCAGTTTCACTTTCGGCACAAAGCACCATAGATTTAGCCTTACGTAGCCTCCGCAGTCAAGTTGCATTTTGATTGGCCCTAACAGAAACGATACAAGATAAAGCTCCTCTCTCTACTGTCTTGTCGTTATCTATACAAATATAAGAAGAAAATTGAAATTGCAAGCTCAAAGAGAGTTTGCTTACAGCCAGATGGTTATCAAGCCCTTATTTCTACGCTCTGCTGGAGAAAGAGGAGCAACAGAGATAGAAATAAAGAGACAGCGTCAGAGAGAGAGCTCGCCAAGAGATACAGGAAGCAAGTATTCTCCACAAAAAAAAAAAAAACAACACTACTTGATTAGTTTCCTTCAACTTGCAGCACAGTTAATTTGGAACAAAAAAGGCATGTACTTAGAGATAACAATGTGCCTGAACTTGGTGTGCTGACCTGTGGCACTAAATAAGACTACACATCAGTAGAAATATTTCCCAACATGCTGGCTATGTAGAAAATAGTGCAAGCATTACAATGAGCTCCACAGAGAGCTATTAAAGGGGTAAAAATGTTTTCTTTTTCTCGCAAAAAAAAAAGTTTAGACCAACGGCCTCTGGGTGAAAAAGCAGACATAAGGCTCTAATTGGCTACCACAAGAGAGAGATAAATTGTGTGTGACAGAGATACGTATATAGAGGGAGACAAGGACACATTATGCAAAGAGTAGAAAAACAGAGCGAGGATGTTTTAGGGAGAAAAGAGAGGATGAAGGAGGGTGGAAGAGACAGTGAGGGAGAAGCTGTATGTAATTGTGGTGCGAGTTGGAACCACTCCGTTGAGCCCCACATTCCCTCTGCATGACTGTGCGCTTTGTTCGGTTCTGAACCCTTAACGAGGGGAACGAGAGAGATGGATGGAGGAGGGATTGAGGGGGAGAGAGAGGCCAGAAATGATTGCGGTGTAATAATCAGACACACATGATGTTGGGCAGCGTGCGGAGCACAGCCTCAAACACACACATACATGCGTGCACTCAACCAGTACCACTCCTGTCCATTTTTTCCCCAACCAAACCATAATTATGTGTCGTAAAATATTCACAATTGCTAAATTGCCCTGGCTCTCTCCTCTTCGTCCCTCTCCATTGACAGCCCCATAATGACCTCATGTCTGCCTCTCCCAGCTAACAGCGATGGTTACACTGTAATTACCCTCCAGGAACTTAATGTGTTGGTCTAACACAACCATCCTTTCTCTCCCAGAGGAATTTAATGTGCTTTTATCATCTTTCTCTGGTAGCTAGGTTTTTTTTCTTGCCGAAAGCGGAAAGTCCCTACATCACTGTTGGTTCTTGAAACAGGATATCATGTTTGTCGACATCCCTGTCCAAGTTCAATAATACCTTGTTAATTTTCAATTTGTACTTGGTTTCTAATGGTGCGGTTAAGCTTCAGCAATACGGGACAGTGTTTGTGAGCTTAAATCCATGGAAGTGTCCAGTTCTGGCTTGTCTAGATGCCTTTTTCTGCATTTTGGGGCAGATTTTAAAGGGATGGTTCAGATCTTTTGAAGTGGGGTTGTATGAGGTACTTATCCATAGTCAGTATATTACATACAGTAGATGTTGGTCGGCACCACCCCAGTTTGGAGAAGCAGGTCAAAGTACCGACACAGAGGCGAAGCAATGTATTACTATGGAAGAGGGCAGCAGCAAAACATGTTGTAGCCTCCTTAAAAAAAATCCATATTGGTTTAATAAACTATATTTGGAATATTTTTACCACTTTACTTTGCCATCAGACAGCACTTTCTGACAGGGAACTCAAGCTCTTGCATTGCTCTCTTGAAAGCCAGATTCTACTGAGAAAAACAGTAATTTAACATCGCTGAACACAGGAGCTGCTGGGCTACCACTGCCTTGATCTGTTAGTGTGTTGCTGTTCTTGTGTGACAATGACATTTAAGAGGGTTAGTTAGGATCCATCAGAGTCGCACAATAACACAAACTAGGGTTGTACCGGATTCAGAATCCTGTCAGTTGAATCAGATTTGGCTGTTCAATAGGAATATTCGACTATTTGTTCCTTGTGTTTGACAGTTTGAACAGGGTTCAGTGGGACGTTCAGGGTGACAGTGACATTAAAGTAATATAGTAAACAGGCTAACTACGTTAATGACAGATCTGAAATTTGCAACATGTTTTTTGTCAACAGTAGATATGAAACAAAAGCCAGAGACCATATCATATTGAGCTGCTGAGAGCTATAAATTCACCATTTATAAGCAGAAGGCAGAAGACAACATTATCTTGGAGACTGATGAGGCAAAGCCTCTCCTCCTCTGGGCAGCTGCCTCCGAGTCCTCAGCTGCCTGTACCAAATAGCAGCATGAAAGTGAGGAGCGCCCATTCTGCAGCTAAATCTGGCGACCAAAACATTCCCATCAGTGCACTGTGCACTGACTGAGAAGAAAACAAAAAAACGACTGCTCCAATCAAAGGAAGCTCAGTGCACTAAGGGGGTGTCTGACTAATGTTTCGAATCTCTGATTTGCAAGCGGCAGTCCTAAAACAATCTAGCTGATCAAGACTGCGGTCTGCGAGCCAAAATTACTAATTTTTTTTACTAGTGGAGTCTTGTGGCTCAGACAAGAGAACAGATCAGAAACTGAAGCCGTTAAAGGCTTCCGCGTCGGAAAGGGCTAGACTGTTAATGATTTATTTTTTGGTAGGACTTTTTTTAGGTGGCTAAAATAGATTTCACTGCTGCGCCCCTTCCACAGCAGCAGTTAGTACTCCTGCCGCAACTACTATAGATAATACACTGACTATGAATAAGTACCTCATACACCCCTACTTCAAAAGATCCAAACTATCCCTTTGCCAACTTCTTTGCCAACACTCAATTTGTCAATAAGTGGTAATGCTCATAGCATATGCATAATATTATTCAAGAATTAGTTTGATAGTGGTACCTTTTGTTATTCTCTGCTTTTGTTTGCTTTTTGCTCTCTGACCTTGTCTTTTTTGTCTTATAGTCCATCGACCCCGGTCAGCAGTTCACATGGGAGAACTCCAACTTGGAGGTCAACAAACCAAAGAACCGCTATGCTAACGTCATTGCCTATGATCACTCCAGGGTCATACTCTCCAGCATTGAGGGTAAGACATGCTGCCAGTGTGTTTGTGTGGGTGTGTGTCTTCTCTCATGTACTTCTGTCTTTGTGAGGACTCACTTGAGAATGAGGACATTTTTAGAAAGTGACGGCATTTTGGTCACTCCTTTAAAGGGCTGTTTGAGGTTTATGACTTGGTTTCAGGGTTAAAGTTAGGTCAAGTGTTTAGATTGGGCACATAGGTGTGATGATTAAGATTTGGAATAGAGGCTAAGGATTGCAGAATGTCAATGAGAGTCATCACGAGTATGGAAGTACACATGTGTTTGAGTTTATCTGTGCTAATTTGAGTGTGTGAAAGCTGCTATCCACGACGGATGGAACATTAATAGCCCAAGATACATTTCATTACCAATTCTCACACACAAACATGCCTGTGCCTGCATCAGCCATTAAAAATTTTCAGGATTCAGGCAGGATTCTGCCCACTGTGTCACCACATCATATTATTGATATGGCCTCTCATTTGACCATTTTAATGTTTATGGAGTAAATTAGGCTCACATTTTATTAATAGCCTATATTTTCACAGTGCAGCCATTTTACCAGATTTGGTCTTTTTAAACAATCTAAAATTAGACGAAGAAAAAAAAATAGTCTCACTCCTGTTCTCAGTGTGCGTTTTGAAGCGCACTCACCCACCTCAGCTGGGAAAGACCTGAGGCAGAGAAACTGGCAGCTCCAATGTGGAGAGAGGGAGGCAGTGGGAGGCCAAGCCCAAACAGATGAGCCTTATCTGGGCAGAGCATGTGTGAGCAGCCCTTCCACCCCCGCCTGTCCTGGAGCCCTGGCTGTCTGTCTTTCTTTCAGCTTAGAAAACACATATACTCCTGAGCATGTCCAAAACACACAAGAGCACAACCATACACACACACACACACACACACACACACACACACACACACACACACTCTACTATGGATTTAAAACACGTGCTTGGGATGTGCTCAAGCGCAGATATGCACTTTTGCTCCCAGTCTCCTCCACACATGCTGCATGAACACACACTCTCTGCCAAGCCAGTGTAGCCACCAAGTGACTGGAAGTGTGTGTGTGTTTGTTTTATCTGCACAGTGCTTCTGCTGTAGTCCCTTGCAATAAAGTTGTAGCACATCAAAGCATTTAGCCAAGCTGTCTTTTAAAGACTGAGGTTGATAAACATATGTTTGAAGCTCTTCTTACCGTCTGTCCCCATCCCATTTAAAGTAAGTTGTGTAAACACCCTGTATTCCTCTGTCATTTAAATGTGTGTGTGTGGTGTGTGTGTAGTGGAGGCTTGGGGTTTTACAACTGTATGGGACTGAGTCGTGCTCACAGAATAAGCCGCCAGAGGAGAATCAGCTGCAGGAGTTTTCGTCCTGTCGGGATTCTACTGTTTGCTCATTGACTTCTATCTTTTTAAATGTAAACTGCCATCAGACGACTCAAAAGGAGTTTTTGTGTCCCACTTCGGCAGAATCGGGTCACGGCTGAATGCACGCGTACACGTCTGTGTGTATTACCGTGTGTGTACTTTGCTGTTTTGGTGTGTGTGTGCATGTTTGAGCTGTGACTCAGTGATTTTTGGGATTATGGTATTAGGCCCCAGATGAGCAGGACTGATCCTAAATCAAACACACACAGATGGTCTCTCACATCACACACACACACACACACACACACACACACACACACATACACACAATCCCTTCCAGGACAAGCAGTGTCAGCCGAGTCTTACACAGAGACGGCCTTACAGTCATGTTGCCATTCAAAGCGACACATCCAGAGTATACTCAGATTAGGCCCATGATCGTCTTAGCATGTATTATAAAACAAGACGGCTGAACAATCCAACACCAAAGGACGCTTGGCCCTGTGAAAACATTAATCTCCCAGCCATGACCTCAGATGATCTGCACCCTTTATTACTGTGACATAAACCTGCTTTCATGACAGCAGCCTTTAAATAATCTGTATAGAATATTTCACCGTGAATCCAAATAAGAAACAGGTTCATCTGCAAAGAAAATAACGCAGACAGATACTGTTTCAGTGTGATCAGTGCAGAAGCATTCAACCCTGATGCCATTTATCACACATTTGGTGCATTGGAGAGACATGAAAGCATATTTCAGCATCAGTGGCATCTATTTCACCCACCTGTTCCCCTTTGTTTATTCTCCCCTCTCTCTCCCACCTCAACCTGTCACAATTCATCCTCCTCCTCACCTTGCACACATCTCTTTCCATTTCTTTTCCCCACCATCCTCTGTAACTTACACTTTTTTCTCATTACACAGGTGTCCCAGGCAGTGACTACATCAACGCTAACTATATTGATGGCTACCGCCGTCAGAATGCCTATATCGCCACTCAGGGACCCCTCCCTGAGACTTTCGGGGAATTCTGGAGGATGGTTTGGGAGCAGCACACGGCCAACATTATCATGATGACCAAACTGGAAGAGAAGTCACGGGTAAGAGAAGAGAGGGATGGAATAACCCGGCAGTATGGGACAGCAAGGACAGGGTAACACAGCGTCAAGATGATGCAATGCTAATGCCAAAGAGAAGAGAAAGGGAAGAGGAGGATAGAATGAAACAGAATCAGACAGAGGAGGATGGAGTAGGATAGGTCACTTTAGGTAAGAGGCTAATATTAGGATGATATGATGCAATATTGAGTAGCATTTTTGGCAAAAAGCTGAGATAGGGGTGTAGATGGTAGACTGTGCACAAAGAGCACTCAACACAAGACATAGTGGAATAAATGGTGGGGCATGTGGATGTAGTGGCATGACGGAGTATCAGTGTAGGATGAGATAAGGTATACAGTATATGTTGAATGGTAGGGTCGATTAATGTAAAGAAGGTAGGGTATGCAGGATAAACTCTTTTTCAGGCAAACTCGCTCAACTACCAGTACAGGTTAGCTAAGTAGTAGTTGAGGCAAGTGGAACATGACCACTTATGTTTACCCAAGAAAACAAGGTGCAATATGAAACGTGGTTGTGTAAATACAAAATGCCTTTATAGATTTTATTGTCAGCAAGAAATATTATTCAATAAATTCCAAGTACTACAAACACTAATGCAGTCTTTACATCCCAACCGATATTTTTCATAAAGCAAAAGTGTGGCAGTTCTTTATTTCCCTGGTTTGTGCCAGTATACATTAGCCAGCAAGTTGCTTAGGTAGGCTTCATGCTGTACAGTGCAGGCAGTGCATTATTAATTTGGTTTACCTGCCTTTTCAGATGCTTTTGAGAAAATGTCAGGAGGACAGCAGGAGCAGGTAGTGTAACAGGACATCCAACTGTTAGTACAGAAAAGGGCAATTAAGGTGGGTGTATAGTAGGACTGGGTTTGATAGAATAGGATAAGATTGACTACAATTCAGGAGGGTAAGAAAAAAGTAAGCTTGGTCTCACTTCCAGTTCTTCAAGTACTAACACTTTGTCATGCCTCTCTGCGTCTGATACTGATGCACAAGGCACCCTTTAGCATCTGTATGAAACACACTGGTCTTTCAAATAACTCCAATGTAAACCCATCCGTGGGGGCATTTCTCAGAGCAATTGGTGTGGTATAATATGGAGGGAGGAGGTCGGGTTGGATGACATAACATAACATTTCTTGAGTTGCATATGTACTTTGCATACTTAAGGTCACGGCACATCATGTATTTACATCATATTGTATTATAACATATCATCTATTCCTAACCCCTTAACAAATGTACTTTTTTCAGCCCAAACCACAATCTGTTTTTTCTAAACCTATACAAGTAGTTTTGTTGCTTGAGCCTAACCACGATAGTTTCATAACATTAACCCTAACCACGAAGTGTTTCACCAAGGAGACCACTGTTTGTCTCATATAGATGCAAAAGGGCGCCTTGTGTATTGGTATCGGATGCTGAGGGAGCATGACAAAGCGCATAGAAGTGCTGCAGGAATGAGTCGGCATATTTGCACTTCCAGTTCCCTCGTCTTGAAGTCAGTAGGCTTTTTTAATGGGTTTTTGGTTAGATGCCCGAATTAAGGTCTGTGGTTTACACAAGCTCAAGAGACTGTCACGTTTTTTCTACGACATAAAATATGTCAGGAAATATCCCACTGGTTAATTATGATGGTTTTTCGTGTTTTAAAAAAAGGTGGTTGCTAATAAGTGGCTAAATGAGACTACAGAATGTCATCATGCCAAACAAGACTTTACAGCCTCTTTGTGGAGGTGACATTAGAGTCACGCAACCATGCGGTGTTCATTTGTGATAATTGATGAACAAAGCGTGTAAGTATCATAAACTTTTGTTTGCCACATATAGAATTTTCAGCAATAATCCAAAATCCAATGAAAAAATCCCGGGCTGGCCTTTAAAAACATATCATCCCTTCACCACTGTATTTGAAGACCTGGGCGTGAGAACAGTTAGGATAAGGAAGACATGGGTACAGAAGGGCAAGATAATGAAGTATAAAAGAACATGATAGGATGTGGAAGAGGGATGTCAGGTTGAGCGTGATTAAGTAGAAGTGGTGAGTAGGACACAGCCTTTTTTGAAGGTTAAATTACAGTGAAGTCAGAGGAGTAAAGTGCAGTTAGGTTAGAGTTGAATACGGGTAGAAAAGTATTGGATATGGTTGGTTTGACAGCAGTAAGGAGGTACGAGACAGGACAGGGCAGGGTGTTTCATTTTTTAGGATGGGGAAGGACAATCAACAGAACAGGACAGACAAGGAAAGGACATACGAGAAAGGGCAAGGAGAATGTAGTACAAAAAATAGCTCACAGAATAAACCAAAAAGCAACTGGCATCATTATGGTAACCAAGCTAAAAGTGCTGTAGCTGAGTGAGAAGTTAGTGTGTGGGACAGCACAAGGTAACATGTAGTTGATGAGAATCGAATACAGTAGAATACAATAGAGTCGAATGGTGAGTAAGACCTATAGGGAATTACAAGTGCAGCTAAATGAGGGGGGGTAAGTAATGAATTAGAAAATCATTTAGCTTCAAGGCATTTTGCTGTTGTTAACAGAATATGCGCTTGAGTAAAAATCCAATGTAATGAGAATGTCATGTTAGAATAAAATGAACAAGAATGGCTTGAGGTATGAATCATGATTAAGTGCTAACCAATTATGTCCAGAGCCCTGTTCAGAAAATGATCCTTTCCTCTCATCTGTGCTTCTTTCCCTATTAACCTGTGTCCTGTGTTAAAAACTTTGTTTCCTTTTCGACCTTTTTCCAACTGTCTCTGTTGTGTCTGTTTGACCCTCAGATGCCCTCTTATTTCTTCTCTAAGGCAAGACCTCTCTTTCTCTCCTTTGCTAACCCCTTTTAAAATGCAACCTCACCTCACATGGTTTTCTCCTTACCTTTTTTTCTCTATTCAGTGCCCTTTTTTTCTGCTGTTTCTCCCCACGTTTTTTCCCTGTGCAATAGCCAGTGCATTGAGTGAGAATGAAGGATTGTTTTCAGCTCACCACAAGGCACTCATAGTTAACTTGAAATGGGTTTTATTGTAACCACTGCAGGTCAGAAACAGTGCACATTAGTGTCTACAGTTTGCATGATCACGCCCACAACTGTTTTTCTATTTTCCTGTCTAGTGGCTATGCAGGATAGAATGTAGCCATTAAAGAAAGACAGTGTTGTTCGCCCGCTGCTTCAACCCGGGGAGTTGTATGAAAAATGCTGTATTTTTTGTTTGATTTGATTTCTGCTGCAGAAATCACTACAGAACGAGGGACTGCAGGGCAGTGGAGCCTCCAGAAGTTTTTCTTAAGGGTTTTCTTAAGGGTTCCACTGAAAACCCAGGGGTGGCACACCAAACCTAACAAAACATAACTATTTTGAGGAGTTCTATTATGCTGTTGAAGTATCTATAGGGTAGTTGAAAACTGTCAGTATGAGAGTTAAATAATTGCATACTGGTATACTTTGGTCTCTTATTGGTCCTAGTTACTAATTATCTGATAGACTAACGCCAGGTTCACACAAGCACTCTAGCTGGCTCAGGATCTGTAGCAATAGTTTCTGCATCTGGTTTATTTTTGCTGACCGGCGCAGAGAAACGCGCTTCAGGTGTGAACGACCAGGTAACTGCTGACAGGAAGCTGCACGTCAGTTAACAAATCAGAGCACTTCTGTGCCCAGTGTGAACCTGGCATAATACTGGTACATTCAGAGTTCCACAATAATCCTGTTTCAGTGTGTTATGTATCTGTATATATATGTGTTAGGTTATTCATTGTTCTTCAATTATCCTGGATGTCCTTTTCCCTTGAAAAGACTATAGAGCTTTAATTGGAAGGAGTGCATTGATTGTACAGAACAAAAAAAAAAAGAGACTCATACAGTAGGTACTCATAGAACTCATTTTCATTCAGATATCTTGAGGTGAGAGTTCAAGGGACCCCTTCGAAAATGGCCGTGGCAGTTGTCCCTCACCAAAATTTAGCCTAATATTGGAGCGTTATTTTGCTCTCTTCCTGACAAGTTATGCTGACATGGTTGGTACCAATGAATGCCTTAGATGTTCTATTTTCACAAGATACCGACACCTAGCTTAAACAATGAGTGCACCACAGCCTCTTAATAAAGTAATGTTGGCCTCCAATTATGTTAGGCCAGTGATGGGGCCAGAAATTGTATCGGGGGGCTATGGCCCCCACGACCCCTCTTTAGGGGCGCCACTGACAGCAGAGCACCAAATTGTAAGCTGTAGGCTGCTATTGTCTTGTAAACATGATGTATCCTTAGTTTGCAAGCGACTGCTTTAGCTTTAAATTCTCTAAATTCAGTAAAGTAGTTCCAACGTTATGCAACAGTGAAAACAGTCAGTTTGAATATACTTAGCTGTACATTACCAGCCCACTACCTCGGTGTCTACTGTTTAAGGGAGTAGTGGGTTGCTTGTTGGAGAAAATGATTTAATCTCATTTAACACCTCTCAACATTATGCCATTATGTGTTTATGCATTTACAACACAGATGATCACAGATGGTCCCACTGTGGGAATCTTGCCAGTATCTTTCCTTTTAGCACCAATCAAACCACTCAAGGGCAGGACGCATGCTGTTAGCCAATATATCAACGCATAATATAGTCTTCACACCAGGCGTTCACTGGGCATCCTGTTTAGTCTTAGGCAGGGGTCCAGCCCCCCTACGTGGACGAGCGTTCCCGTCCCCACAGTGTCTCAAGGTCTGGTGGGAAAACAACAGTTGAAAAGCTGTAATTACAGCCTGAACGTCCCGGGCCAAAACGCATAATCCCCAGTCTGGAGCAGTGGAATGCAGAGCGAGCTGAGCTGAGCTCCCTGCTGTCTTTGATGTGAGGACTGGAGGGATCAGCACATAACGTTTGGTTTGGCCTGATTCTGCCAAGGCCCTCCTCCCCTCTTTCCCCCCTCCTCTGGGATTTTTTCCCCTCTCCTCTGTGGTCTACGAGGCTGAGCTGAAGAACTACAAATATGACCTCTTTATACAGGGGAATTCTAGGTGTTTTTGGTGGTCAGGGATGCTGGGATTTGGTGTGCGGGGCATAGTTTTGTAGGGATTTGTGAGGTTGGAATGTAGGGCGATGCACAGCGTCAGATACGCAAGAGCTGAACTTTGGGTATCACTTGGCTTTTTCAGCTCTGCGGTGGATCCTTGTGAGAGCCCACCAACCTATGGCAATTTCATGCCACACAGTTGTCTAGTATATAAAGCACAACTTATGCAGGATCACACCCCAGAAAGCAGAACTCACTCTCTCTCCCCAGTCTCCTCTCTCTGTCACTCTCCACCCCACACACTTGATAAAACCACTTTCACACGCTGGGTTGTCGCTATATGCACATTTTTTCCAAACATTACTGTCTGAATTTCTCTCACTGATCTGCTTCATCACCTCCCCTCCTTTATTTGCCCCTGTACACGAGCACACGCACCAACTCTCTCTTTTTCTCTTCTCTTACAAAAATGTGTACAGACGTATACAAACCGCTCTGCATCACTCACAGCTTCTTCCCTCTTCCCGTTGTAGGTGAAGTGCGATCAGTACTGGCCAACACGGGGCACAGAGACCTACGGCCTCATCCAGGTCACTCTGCTGGATACAGTGGAGCTGGCCACCTACTCTGTCAGGACCTTCGCTCTCTACAAGGTAACATGACGTGTGTGGTGGAGCGTAATGGGGTCGCGTGTGTATTGATCTGTTGAAATATTCATGCGTACTAGTGGCCATGTCACAGTTTGTGCATGAATGTGCAGCTGCCTGTATTTTTGACCCAACATGACGCACAACCACATGAAACCAGATTTTTTTGGTAATCTTTCCAAACACCATTTATCCTTCCAATGAGATTTAAGGTGAATCATTCTTAATAGTGGCCATTATTAGTTGTTGAATTGAAAAAGCACATTAGGATCAATTAGTGTCTCACTTAAAATCAATCACCTGTCAGGTTCAGATTCACATCAGAATTAGAAACCTTTTTATTGCACAAGGAATTTGTCTTCGGTGCATAACAATAAGCACAGTGCAAAAGTCAAGAGACGTAATATGATATCGAAGAATTCATGGTAACTCTCTACATTAAGGTACACATATTCACCATTAACTAAGTGCTTATTAGCGTGCATATTAGTAGCATATTGGCTCCTTATTAGTCATTAAAAAGCACTTATTAATGCCTTATTCGGAATGACCATATTCTACAACAACTAGGCCATTAAGAGTTTCCCCCCAATAACCTCTTAATTATTACTTACTGATAAGTCTGTGGCACAGATGAATAAGCTGCAGGCTACATGATCAATGCTTGTTCGTGGGATGAATTCATTGTTGCTTTTGTCATTTCCCTGTAACTTGTTCACAATAAGAAAAATATAGAATATCCCCAGACTTAACCTTTAAAATATGCAACAATAATTCATGGCTAGCACATATATATGTGCACAAACTTTACACATCCTCCACCTAAAAACAGGAAAACACTTCTGTGCACACATAATATGTACACATATTCACCATTAACTAATTGCTTATTAGCATGCATATGAGTAGCATATAGTCTGATTATAAAGCATTTATTAATGCCTTATTTTGCATGACCACAGTGTACAACTACTGGGCCACAAGTTTCCCCCCTAATAACCTCCTTATTACTTCTTATTGATAGTAAGTAGGGAAGTTATGGTACAAGAATTCCAACTTAAAATGCTTTGCTTATATGAGCCTTAAAAGATGATAGTACCATTGTCATCCTCCCTTAATAAAACTATGGTCTATTGTTATATAACATGAGGACTTGCTCATGCTGACTAATTCACTAGTAGTTTGACACGGTTAACCCGCTCATGTTCCCTATTCTAAAGTTGCCTCCTCTTCACAGTTAGTAAATCCATTCTAGCGTACAACCACTGTAATTAACAGACCAAATTTTTAAGTGATGTGTTAGACCTTGAACAACTGAAGGTCATGGATGCACAGGTTTTATTCCCATTCAATGGTAGAAGAATAAAGTCAGCACAGGTAGAAATATCTCCTTTATTAGTGAACCACTTCTGAGATTTTCAAACATACCTATTAAAAAATGTCCTGCCTTATCACTTAAGGACAGGGTCTGCTAGTTGCAGTAGTTGTTCTGTAATAGATTTACAAGGTTTAAAGAGGAGGCAGCTTTAGAATGAGGAGCCTGTGTGGGTTATTAAGTGTTTACTTAGGTATGAATTAGTTATGAACAAGACCTCACATCAGAATGAGGAACATATTCTGAGTTAGAAAGACTTAAATTTGAGTTATTTGGACACTGTCAACACTTGTAGGTTTGTGTTTTATTACAGAAGAGTAGACCATTTTTATTAAGTGTTACCAAGGGAGAATGTCTGTTGTTGTAGTTCTATCACCTTATAAGACCCATGCTGAGGAAAGCACATTAAACTTGTAATTTATGTACAACAACTTCCTGCAGCAATTAGTGGACTATTTGGGGAAAACTTTTAACTTAATGTCCAAGTAGTTGTAGAATACGATTATGTAGAATAAGGCATTTATAAGTGCTTTATAATGACTAATAAAGAACCAAAATGCTCCTAATATGCATGCAGCTAGTTAATGGTGACTTTGTGGACATTAATATAAAGTGTTACTCTGTTTTTAGGTGGAAGAGCTGTAAAGTTTTGTGCTAGCCATGAATTATTGTTGTACATTTCAAAGGATAAGTCTGGGGATATTCTATAGTTTTCTTGTTGGCAACAAATCACAGCAAAAAGCAGTAATGAATTCATCCTAACAAGTATTGATCTTGTAGCCAATGCCTGGTATTTTACAGCTCATTCCTCCGTGCCACAGACCTCCGTTATTGCCCAAAAACAATAAAAAACACATCAGCGAGCCACATTGTTGTTCTCTGTGACATTATTATTACCATGAACTCCATTTTCAGTCAGTCTCACACACACCGTCCTGCTGCCGTAAATACTCACTGGGCTACCAGAAGTGTATTGATCCATGGCTAAAAATAATCCCAAAGAATTTTCACTCCTCTTAGCAATGTTTCCCTGCTGTTTTAGGAAATTTCTGAGCCTTTAAAAAATGTGACTAGATTTTAAAGATGTACATTTTCAATAGGAACAAATGAGCCTGGAGCCAAGTACCACAGGGGAGGGAAGTCATAAAGTACTGAGAGACAGATTGTGGGACCATTGTAGGTTTTAGTCTTTTCATAGGACACTATGTTGGTTGACAGTAACAAAAATGTAGTAGAGTAACACCATCTTTTACTTTAACACTCTTCTCTGTCTGCCTGTTCAGAGTGGCTCCAATGAAAAGCGTGAGGTTCGTCACTTCCAGTTCACCGCCTGGCCAGACCACGGGGTGCCTGAACACCCCACTCCCTTCCTGGCCTTCCTACGCAGGGTCAAGGCCTGCAACCCTCCAGACGCGGGTCCCATGGCTGTCCATTGCAGGTGTGTGTGCGTACGTGTGTGTTTTGTAGTCAGTGGTTAATCCTTGTTTTTTATTGGTGTAGTTTAGAAAATTGTTTTAATTCACTGTGCTAACATAATTTCGATAATCACCAAGGAAAACTGTCCAGTGGTCCATGACCAGAAAGAAAATAAACTTGGTTCTGGATTGTGTGTTTGTGCTTGCATGAAACACTTATGTGTTATTTTGGGTTTTACTTGGCAACATGATTTTCAAAAGCGCTGAGAGTCTGTGAAAATCAACAAGAGTCCAAGAGCACTTGTGTAAAATCATTCATAGGTCCTGAACTGAAATGAGATTGACCTGCCATTATGTAAACCTCAAACTGTCCCCACTGGCTTAGACACTCACATTCCTCCCTTAACAACAGCCATCATCCCTGAGGTCTTACAACAACAGCAGCCTCCATGCTGACCCTCCTTTCCATAAGTAGCTTTCAGTGTTCACTATTTACCATTTAAGCCGGTGGTAGACGTGGGGTCAGAAGTTTATATTCAAATGAGCTGCTGTCTGAGCAGCAGGAGGCATGTGTTGGTTGGAGGAAGATTCTGGAAACGTGTCATCGCAGTCTTGGCACAATGTGGAGCTCCAAAGCTGGAATGAAGCTGCTGTTTGCTCTTACCAGGGAATGAAGGAGACAGGAGATAGAGGGGAGCAGAGGGACTTTGGAGGAGAAGCTCTTGGGAGGAAGAATTAGCGAGGTATAGATGGTGGAAGGAAGAGAGAGGGGAAGTGAAGAAAAGGGGATTGAGAAATGATTGAGAGGGAGAGTTAGCGAGGGACTGGGAGTTAGAGGAGGAGATATGTGCGGAATGAGAGAGAAGGTGAGGTCAAATCCAGGACGCGGTGAATAGGAATGATGAATTAAAGAAAAGGAAAGGTGGAGAGAAAATGGAGTCTAAAAAAAAATGCGGGAATGAAAAAGTGGTGGGGCTGGTGTGAGAGTGTTGGAAGGGTACTTGGAGAGAAGATAAAGAGGCAGGGAGACGAGGGCAGGAGGGAGGGGGTGAAAAGGTTGGCAGGAGAGGAGCTCTCCCTAATCTTCCGTAGCAGTCAGATGGGATATCTAACAGGATTATCAGTCAAATTTAATTATCCCGGCAAGACTCCATCATAATTGCCTTAACATATCAACCAGCCTCTGTATCAAACAATGGACCGAATCTTATTCCACCTAAACAACACACACACGCTACTGCGCACACATATATACACACTGATATTAATTTAACCATATAAAGAGGTTTTTATTCACTTTCGGAAACCTGCTTGGTCAGGATGTTTCACCATTTAGGTACCAGCACAGCAAAAATGTGAAGTGTTTGGGTGGGCAGCTAAATGTATTATATTTCTGGATTGTATGTCGATAGGAGAGGATATCTTCCTAATGCCAGTCAGACGGTGATGCTGACTCATCGCTGATGTCAATTTTTACGTCCTTTGTTGGAAATATTGCTGGCTGGCATCTTTGTGATACTCAGTTGATTTAGGCACAGTATGTTAGAGCTTTTGCAATATGCAACAGGGCCAGATCTGTACCAGGTCTGAAGACACAGCACACACTCAGGAAAATTTGCTCAACAATTCATACCCTATGGGTTATGTGAGAATTTGTTCCATTCTCGTTTTGATTCAGTGCCGGAGTGGGTCGCACAGGCTGCTTCATTGTGATCGACGCCATGGCGGAGCGGATCAAACACGAGAAGACCATCGACATCTACGGCCACGTCACGCTGATGCGCTCCCAGAGGAACTACATGGTCCAGACAGAGGACCAGTACATCTTCATTCATGATGCACTACTGGAGGCTGTGACCTGCGGGAACACCGAGGTCCCCGCAAGGAACCTGTACTCCTATATCCAGAGGCTGACGCAGATTGAACCGGGGGAGAATGTCACTGGCATGGAGCTGGAGTTCAAGGTGAGGCCCAATCACTGTATCCTCGAAGGCTGTAAAATCAGGTTTGGCTGATTTATGATGGTTCATAAACCTGATTCATGATGATAATGTGACACTTCACTGGTCTCTGTAAAGGGGAGTTATGTTTTTCTTGCCCCTCACCACACAGAAGGCAAGACATCAGGGTCAGCTACACAATAGCATCACTGAATTTGGTACTGTAGATTTTCAGTACCTCCTCAGATTTCAGGATAAATCAGCATCTGTATACTGGGCTATCCTGCCCCCATAAAGAAAGTACAGTCACCATGTTTGTTATATAAATCACTAAAGGCAAGGTGGTGGAGAATAGAGTGAGACTGGATACTGAGAAACAAGGGGTGCATCCCAAGTCTTTTTTCTCCCTTAAATTGGAAGTCGTTCTGATGTGCCATCTTGACGGCTGTCCCAAAGCTCTTATTTCTGCTTACGAGTGAGGAGCAAGAAGCAACGAGCAAGGATGTATGAGAGCAGCCTTCACAGAAGTCTTTTATTGGCTGACCAGCCACCCAATTGGAAATCAGTTAATGATTGGTTGATTGGCTTAATGATGATCAGCTGCTCTGACTGATCTTTCACAATATCGCTGGAGTTTCATACTGGAGTGAAGACAAATAAAAGATTAAATTCAAGTGCATCACTCCCAAGCTTTATGTTTTATTTGTTTTTCTGAATTACCATCTAGTTAAAAATCTGAACAAAAGGAGCACAAACAACTTTCATCCTTTATTAGAAAGATTTTTCTTTTCACAATCTGTTATTTCCCCCATTCCCCCTTTTATTATGGAAACAATTAAGCGAGAGTCTGTCAGCAACAAACACTTTTCAGTTATCGTCATTTCCATTCAGTCACACATGAGGCTTTTAATCCCTGAACGTTGGGTTTGATGAGTTACAGAATTTCAATTTTTCCTGAAACATTTAGCCTAATAAATAATTTGCAGTATTCAAAAGACACAATAATCATATTCTGGGTTATTAAGTAATGAATTTACAATCAGAAAATCAATAAATAGCTGTCAGATGTAAATAATGAATAGCCTAAATAATGTAAATGTATTCTACACCTCTAAAGGGGGCATAATACATGTTATAAATACAGAACGCATGTTATTCATGTGCAAGTGTTTGTTAAACAGAGAGAAACTGTTGTACTGTTGCTCTGGCAGTGATCACTGTGCACCTTAAGCTCAAAAGCTCAATTAAAAGTCTGTACAGCTGTTAAAGCCGACTTACAGCCGATCCAGCTGTGATCAGCTGCTGCCATCATCCGAAACGGATGTCACTTCATCTGTCACTTCAAAGAAAAGGACAGTCGTTTCTCAAAAATGTTTTCAGAGGGACTAAGACGCATTGAAAAGATGCAAGGGTGGGAAATGTGGATGCAATTCAAGAGACTTGAGATGCACCAAAGGCATAGAGTAGGGATGGGCACTGAAAGTAACTTCCACATTTCAGCACTCGCATTAAATTATTATAGAGTACTCACAAAAACATATAAATATAATGCAAGAATAGCAATGTAAATTGGCCAACACCATAAAATGTGCAATTTGAAGTTCATGTATTGAAGAACCAGGCTTCAATTAGCTTATTAAACCATAACTACAAAGTTGACATAAGAAAAATCAGCAAACTTTCTGTTGTCGCCATTAAAAAATTTAGGTGCAGCACTGAAAGACTGTCTCTAGAGTCCGGAGCTGCTGTTTCACCAACTGATCCACTGTGCAGAACTCACACTCCAGCAGTATCCCAGTGTCTCGGGATAAACAGACAGAGAGGCACACTTACAGGAACGAGCGCCCACCCTCCTGTTCCAACCCAGTTAACACTGTTGGCTCCATCAGCTGTTGGCTCTATTGCCATTGTTAGCACTGTTTACACTGTTAATACCATTAGCTACTAGCCACCAGCTTAGCTCCCTCCATGTTAAGAGCTGTGTGCAGACAACCTTCAAAGCATAGATATGCTCTGAATATCCTTTAGAGCTCCTTTAAGTTTGTAAATCTGTAGAAATATTCTTACTTAGGAATAGTTTGACGTTTTGGAAGAAACACTTATTCACTTTCTTTTGATGGTACACGAGAGGATTGATACTTCTTTTATGTCTGTCTGTTCAGTATCCATTCATTTGTACAAAAACATAAGTGCCAGACTATGTCTTGGCCGAGTGCAGTAACTTCCTGGAGACTTGTTGTCACCATGACGTTGCCAGGACACTCTTAGAGATTTAAGGAAGTCACTTCACCTGGCCAAGTCCTGCACATAACTTATGTGTTAATTAGTGAGCTTTGGAGGTGCGGATTTATCTACAGTTTGACAGAGCCAGGCTAGCTGTTTCTCTGTTTCCAGTCATCATGCTAAGCTAAGCTAACCAGCTGCTAACACTAACTTCTCATTGAACTATCAGTAAAAAAGAGAATAAGGGTATTTCCTAAAATGTTGAACTCTGTAATTGTTTTTTTTTTTTTTTCAATATTGTGTCCTCCATGACATGTTGAATCTCTAATGGCACAAGTACAGCTCAAGAACAAAAGAACACAGATGAATGAGGTTGGTTAATGATCCCAGAATTTTACTTCCAATGTAGCGGCCAATGAAAATAAACAGGAACATCAATTAGATTGAATAAAAGAAGCTTCCAAGAACAACACATCTTTGCCAAGCAAGCTGGGATAAATACACAGTGACACTGTGTAGTTCATAGCCAGTTGAACCAGCAAACATGTCTGTGTAATGTCTCAAACGCACCTTATCAAACAATGACAATGATGTTGGAAAAAACAGTCTCACCTCAAGGTCCATTTATTGGCTGTCTTGGAGCTTTCGACGGTATCACAGGGTTCACTTCAGCAGATTAAGTGTGCTCATTTACCACACAATTCTAGATACAGACATTTTCCCCCTTACCTGTAGTGCTGTTTATCAGTCTGGGTTGTTTTGCTGTTAGTTGCAGAGTGCTGCAGATATCAGCCGTAGAGATGTCTTTTCTCTCCAATATAATGGAACTAGATGGCACTCAAGATAATCTACAGACCATGTTGTGGGCAGTTTCATGTAGGAACTATTTTCTTTCTACCAAACCACACCTTCCAGCTGCACAGATAAAAAGCTTGCATCTACTTATGAGAGGCTTATACTCATGACAGTGCAAGATGTAGACATTAATGGCGTCTTCCTCGGCTGTGTTGTATAGTGTTGTGTCGTTCGCGAACGAATCATTCAAAAGAACGAATCTGTTAAATGAACGTACTGAACTGAATCACTTCTGGAACTGATTAGTTCATTTCTCAATTCAGTTGAGCTCAGCAGCGAGTGTGCAGGCCATGAGTGGAACTGCCGATTCGGTCCGTGCAAACGGTGAATCAGTCGCGAGGCAGCCAGGGTGCAGGGAGGAACTGCCTACTGCGTGATGAATCACTCAGTAAACGAGTCACTCGGTGAATGATGTAACCCTGACCCCTGAGTGATTCAAATTAATTCTTCTCAGTGATACACTTTCACAGGGACCGTTATCTCCAAGCTAACGTAGCTAGGAGCCACAGGAACACAATCACACATCTTTTAACACACTTAGTTTCCAGATAAACAAACTTAAAATGCAGGGCAGACGCAGCAGCAGCTCAGCCATGTATCAGTTCAATGAGTCGGACTATGCAGTACACAGTCAGGGCTCCTCCCACCAAGCACTGAACAATTCGGTGAAGGAATCTTTTGAACTAATCTTTTTAATGAACTGATTCTAGTGATTCAGTAACATCTAAAGAACTGCTTTACCCATCACTAGTGCTGTAATGTTCGCTAGCCCAGTGAGCTAGCAGTGGATGGACGCATCCATCTGGTGGAGTGATACAGTAGGTAGGGGTAGTTCTGTAAAGTAAAATAGTTCCTAAATGAAAGGGCTCACAGCTAGGTCTGTGGATTATCTTAAGTAACAAGGTCTTGATTTCTGGAAAGAGACATTGCTGTCGAGTTTTTTAAATGTATTATCGGCCATCTAGTTCCATTATATATTGGAGAGAAGGCAGACATCTCTACAGCAGATATTGCCAACACTCGGCAGCTCACACCAAAACAATCCAGACTGATAAACAGCACTACAGGTAAGAGGAAAATATGTATGTTTGATTTGGGGGTGAATCTGTCCTTTTAACATGATTCTAAGCACCTCCATCCACATTGACCTGAAGGTTGAGGTCCAAATTAAACTACTGACCTTTAAAACAGCAGTTGGCAAAATGATCCTGAAGGAGGTCTGTTTAGAAGCTGCAGGAGATGTTTACAGGAAGATGGTTCTCCCAGCTTGAGAACCTTCTTCATAACAACATACAGTATGTATGAACCTGGATTTCTTGACCTTGATAGTCACTTAGCATCTTTCCCAGGGCTGTTAGCCGCTCCCCGCTGAGAGTTTCATATACTCAGGATGGACGGTTGGATTTGAAGGGGATTATGGGATTGCACCTTTTGAATCCAAGGGAGTTCTACTGAGAGTTTTAGAGAGCATTGTAGTTTTGGACCTTTGATGGGCATACACAGAAAGACTAAATAATGTAGGCCAGGAAGTTGCAGTTTATAATAAAATCTTGGGGAAAGGTCAGATAGGCGCTTTCAAACATTTAGGGAGCTGCTCAGAATTCTAAGTGAGAGCACAGAACACAGGCATCAATACATGAGCAAGAAGACTGAATACATAAGGGAGTCTGTGTTATTGAGTAGTGTTATTTTCATTTTATTCTAGCTGTTTTTATTTTGTTTACTTTGATATTTACCTCTCGCCAGACGAGTTCCCAGCAGACCTGTCTGGTTTGGCTGGGTGAAAAAAGGAATCTTGCCACACAGGTATATATTGAAAGCAGGTGGCTTAAATTTTTTCCTGGAATGGTTTATGTATGCTCAGACGCTCAGAGGGCAAAGCAAACACAAAGCCACTCTAAGCAATCTCCTCCATCCTTTGCTCCGGCATTTCTGTCCTAATGGCAGCAGTCCCCTCAGAATGACAATGAACTGAGCGCTCGCTGAACTGTTTGCTCAGCCTTATATTGATGTAAAACATATGCCAGGGGTGCCCCAGTCACCAGATTTCATCTCACTCAAACACTTAGGGGACAGAAACGGCGCTTTCCACCATCATCAACCAAACACCAAATGGGATGGAATTTCTCACAGAGGAGCGGTGTCACATCCCTCAAATAAAAAACACAGAAAGTTGAAGCATGTGTGTGAGAAAAGAAAGAAATAAAGCTGCCCTGGCAGCTTTTGGTAATCCAACACCCTATTAGGACGCACTGTTTTTGTTTCCTTTCGCGGAGTTTAAAGAGGTTGCCAACAGGGCATGATTTTATCCAAGCTTAACAGATGGGGAAAATAATGGGCATGTATCAAAGCAACAAAAAGTTTTGTGTGCGCCAGACTGTGTTGATAAAACCAGTCAAATTCAAACAAAATCCCATGAAGAACGTCTATCGTTGGCACTGGGAGCTTTGGAGCAGAGTATGAAAACGAACTGGTGAACTCGTGGCCGGTGTGGGATTTTCCAGCTTGGTCTGTCTGTAAGAAAATAAGGTAGTGCTGTTTCTCCCACAGCGCTCCGGTAGCCGCCGATGGTCGAGGCTCAGTTCATGAGACCCCATTGTTTCCCCCTCTGAGTCTGCGGTTCCACTCTGCCTATTCTCTGTTGTTCTGTCTTTCGTTTTAAGCCGTGTCATCCAGTGGTCGAGTGTGAGAGAGAGTGTACAGTATGTGCTCACGTCTGCCTGTCTGCACGTATCCATATGAATGTGTGTGTCCCAGGGTTTTTTTTTTCCTTCACTGGTGAAGGATCAACTGTGGTTCACATATGTGCATAGAGACAGTGTGGGGCCTTGTGGTTTCCTGCCCCCCGACTCTTGATTTTCTTCTTCCTCCTCTCGTTCATTTTATTATATTCCCTCTCCCATTCCCTTGTCTCTATATTGCCCCTCTTTTGTTTATTCAATTGAAGATGTCTGACTAAATATCCCCAGGCCTGCCGAGTCAAGCTGATTTTCACTTGTCCACTATGCCAGGGGAAAACCAAGGCTTGTGCTAAATACATTTGAATGAGGGTCCTTGAATTTGTCTGAACTTTTCTGCCTTTCTCTAATCCATCCATCCCCCCTTGTTTCCATCACTCCCTGTCTTCTTTTCTTTATTTTCTTTGTTTTGTCTGCTCTCACCAACAACACTTCTTCTCAGGCCCGTAACTAAGGATCTGTAAAAGTTTCCTCAGCTGTCAGTCAGAGTAATATTGTGAAATATTGATTTTTTTTTTTCTGTTCCAGCGTCTGGCCAGTGCCAAGGCTCACACATCACGGTTCGTGAGTGCCAACCTGCCATGCAACAAGTTCAAGAACCGGCTGGTGAACATCATGCCCTATGAGACCACGCGCGTGTGTCTGCAGCCAATCAGAGGAGTGGAGGGGTCTGACTACATCAACGCCAGCTTCATTGATGGATACAGGTCAGAAAAAACTGTTATTTTTTATGTTTCTGTGAGGGCTGGGTGATATATCTATTATACTCAATGTACCGCTGCTTTTTCAATGTGGGATCTTTAATATGATTCTATCCTGAACATCAATCATAAATTGTCATGTAATTTTTTAAGCCACCAGCATGAGACTGGCTTTGGCATTTCAGTTCTCTCGCTCTCTCCTATGGCTCTCTCCCTCTCATAGAAACAAAAAGAGTTTAAAGACTCACAAACATAATATGTCACACACACTCCCTCGTCCATCCTGACCACCCTCTCCTGGACGATAGTGTGTGAGGCTAGGCATGTGTTTTTGCATCTGCAGGGCTCCAGACCATGGAGCATCAGTGCAACTTACAAATATTATTAACATATGAACTGGAGAGCTGTTAGTTTGTTTCCTGCTCACAGTAAATAAATCCTCACGTTTAATGGCGCTGCTGTAATGATTTAACTCTCCACTAACTGCAAACAGCTAACAGCTAACTGTTGACTGGAAGCCTCAAGTTCGCAGAAAAAACATCAACACTATAGGCCAATCACAAGCCAGGCACTTCAAAATAAAAGCACTTATGGTTTAGCTTTTATTTATTTCATTATAACAATACTTTATTTAACTTGATCATAACAATACTTTAACTTTATTATAACAGTACTTTTTTCAACCTTATTTTAATGGTAACTTAATCAACTTTATCATAACAGTACTTTATTTAACATTATTATAACAGTAATTGATTTATCTTTATTATGATAATACTTTATTTAACTTTATTATAGCAGTACTTTTTTCAACCTTATTTTAATGGTAACTTATTTAACTTTATATAACAGTACTTTAACTTTATAATAACATTATTTTATGTAACTTTATTATAACTACTTTATTTAACTTTATTATAATAGTATTTTTTTAACCTTATTTTAATGGTAATATATTTAACTTTATATAACAATACTTTAACTTAATGATAAAAGTTCTTCATTTAACTTTATTATAATAATACTTTATTTAACTTTATTATGACAGTACTTCATTTAACTTTATTAGAACTACATAATTTGCCTTTATTAGAACAGTATATATAACTTTACTTTGATTAACTTTATTGTAACAGTACTGTATTTAGTAGTTTAGTATTTTAGTAGTCTACAGTAGTTTGGAGGAGTTTTCAAAATATTGAGATATATATCGTGTCTCGGATATAGCCATAAAATATTGTGATATTATTCATAGGCCACATTGCTCAGCCTTAGTTTCTGTTTGGTTGTTGGCATTGAACTTTAAGGTTTATTTCATTCAGTTACTTTATGTGAACTCAAAGCCCTTAACATTGAGATTTTCAACTCCCTGCTTACCTTTATTTGATGAAAAACTAGTAGTGAGCGTGCACACTATATGTACAGTATTTAATTAATGTATTTGTGTCTGTAGGCAGCAGAAGGCCTACATAGCAACTCAAGGCCCGCTGGCTGAAACCACAGAGGACTACTGGAGGATGCTGTGGGAACACAACTCCACCATAGTTGTCATGCTAACCAAACTGAGAGAAATGGGACGGGTACGGATACAAATACACACACACATACACAGGCACACAAATATTACTGAGAAATGATGTAATTAAGGGGTGTATAGGCTCTTAAGGAAAATCTAAACAAAGAGAAAATAAAATTCTTTGAAAGCCACACAAATGAAATACTTCTAGGTGAGCTCATTACTCTCAGCTTTTAATTTTAGAAAATGAACACTAATTAATACTGAAGGACTGCCTGACCTGCAGCGTGATCAGCAGCCCTTTTACATCATGTGTCCCCTCCCTGTTTACTGAGAACTGTCATAAACAGTATCCTTTTCCATGTTGGGGGGACAAGATATGTTGCTATTTTTGTAAAAGAGCTTCTGGAAAAAAAAAGAAAATGATGACTATTAAAAACAGCATATGAAGTGATGAAAATGCAGCAACACTGATGGAGTGAGAAAGAGCGATAATGGTGTGAGTTATATCTCATGAACATCATATCTCATCTGGCACAAGACTATCCTCAGGTGAATAATGAAATTCACTCAGGAATAAATTTTCATGACAGAGTAGCCTGAAATTGTCCTCCTTACACTCTGAGTCCCTGAGATATGATGTGAAGCTCTGAACAGAAGCCTTTTGTGCTGTCATCCTGCAGGAGAAGTGTCACCAGTACTGGCCTGCAGAGCGCTCAGCCAGGTACCAGTACTTTGTGGTGGATCCCATGGCTGAGTACAACATGCCCCAGTACATCCTCCGAGAATTCAAAGTCACTGATGCCAGGGTGAGCCATCAGTTCGTGTGTGTGTTATTCAGACTGCTTTAACATCATTTCTGTGATTAAAAATAATAAAACACATCCTCTTCCTCCAGGACGGCCAGTCACGGACAGTTCGTCAGTTCCAGTTCACTGATTGGCCAGAGCAAGGAGTGCCAAAGTCAGGGGAGGGATTCATTGATTTCATTGGCCAGGTGCACAAAACTAAAGAACAGTTTGGCCAGGATGGGCCAATTACTGTGCACTGCAGGTAAGACTTATCCCTCCCACTGAAACCTCTACGTTTTATACAGTGTGGTTGTAGTATTCATTGTGTCAACTTTAAGAAAAACCTAAATAAATGAGTGGAGGAACATCCTGATGAGAGAAATAAGAATGAGAATACAGTAACAAACTCAAATGGCTTGAACAGCAGTGGCAACTTTTTGACTGACCTGTTGGGCAACACTCCACCACCATCAATAAAACACCAAATGAGGGAATATTTTTTTGAAGAGTGGTGTTCATTATTCCAGCACAGCTCAGAGACTTGTGCTGGCCCTACACCTCACTGAGACACTTTATGCTGGTTTTTCCCTTGCATTTGTCACCCATCTGTACCTTTCATCACTGCACTAGTTCAATGAACCTTACATTGACAAGAGAAATTATAGTCAGAGTCAAAGAGATTATGTGCAGTTGATAATAGTTTAAAGCAGGTTTAGATGTATCATTGGCATATGCACTGATCAGAGATACGGTACGTTCCTGCCAAATCAAAGATGATTTCAGTGCTAGTCATCTTACCGCATAATAGTCTACAGTGTGTTAGGCTGCAGGAAATTATACTCAGAATTTTTGCATATATCCAACTTTTTTTGTAGCCTGCTCTACCCTAAAAGAAAAAGGCTTGCCACAGCTGGTGTGTTAATGTGTTTAAAACAGATGAATGAGGAGCAAATTGGAAAAGCGCTTTGGATATGTAAATGCAGTTCATTTAAAGCTACAGTCGGTAACTTTTATGAAAATAACTTTTTGTCACATTTGCTGAAACTGTTACTCTGTACTCACAGTGGTAGATGAGACAGATACTCTGAATAAAATCATGTTCATCAGCCTTCTTCTAGTGCTTCTAATGGCAGCATGTGAATGAGAACAACCAATTAGAGCTGAGGATTGTTTAACGCAGCTGTCAATCATGTCAGTCACTGTTCGTAAAGTGTGGTCAAACTGTCAAACTAGGCGGCGCTGATCAAATATGAATAAAGATTCTGTTACTGCATTGCCTGTTTCTCACCTCAAACATATTTTAGTGTACTGTTTAGCTGTAAAATGAGAAGGCTGAGAAAGGCAATGCAGGTTCAAACCAGGTTTGGTTGTTTCCCAGTGTTGGGGGTACTGTGTTACAAAAGTGAAAGTAACGCATTACAGTAACATTATGTCTTAGCAATAACAAAGTAATAAAACACGTTACTAGAATTTCAGGTAATATTATTACATTTAAAATGTTACATAACACGTTACCACCCGAAATACATTGTTTATTGTTTTCTTTTTTCATTCATCCACACCGCTCCACTTCAGCCAGTGCGCCACCAGAATAAAACATCCCCCGAAGGTTGATGTGTGTCGTCATGTCACTACAGACTACATCATAGAAGGGTGCTGGTGATCGACACAGCTGGGTCATGTCATACTGTGCAGTATCATATCAGTGTGTTTCCATTAATATAACAACGTACAACAGATCCCATTCTGTTTTTGCATCCCAAGGCTGCCTGAAAGCAGCGGGGATAAGGTGCTGGTCTCCGTTTCATTTTTTTTTCTTTGTCCCAGTGATGGACACATCTGGCCTGGGTGATATTAGTATATGTTGGATGTGTTTCCATTCACATCCCCTACAACTGAAGAGCAACTCCGGCACACAGTCCCTTTCTTATAACTCTCTCTCTGCGGTGTCGGCAGATGGTTTTTAAAGCTCTGTGGTTTTAATTTGTGCTCGTCATAGTGACTGACTCACACGACATTCCGTTTGTTTTGCTAACTTCAATATGTCTTTATTGTGTTTTATATCAATGGCCCACAAATATCTATCTATATCTCATAATTATTAGATCTTGATCCTCTGCCTGACCCTCCCTGTGTCCAAGGCTATTAGTATATTTAAAAAGGTCCAGGCTATTGAATTGTTTTTTTATCATTTTTTTTTCATTTTAATACAAAGTGGTAAACACTGTATGTGAATGCATGACCCTCATCCATTTATAATGCCTGTTAGTTTTTCTGATGTCATTTTGGTCAAAGTAATGCAAAAATAGTGTAACTTAGACTGTGTAGAGTACTTCTGTGTGGATGTAGTGACAGTTTCAGCAAATATGACAAAAAACTATTTTTATAAAAGTTACCAACTTTAATGTAAACTGGAGGGTTAACTGGTTGATGTAAGTTTTGAATATGGACAGTCAGATAAAGCAGTGATCTCAAGCCATTAGTCATGAGGCACTACTAGCTTGTGTAGTAGCTAGCATCTCTGTTACAGCTCTACAAATATATATACATATTTTCCCCCTGCTCATATATTAATATTACATACAGTGTCTGATCTTTGCCATGTGTGAGGAAAAAATCTGAATTAGGTCACTGCTAACAGAGCCTGTGGGAGGAACTATTATATATGATTGTGATCATGGCGCTTTATTATACATGACTACAGGTGTTGCACTTCTAAATATATCCAGCTCTAAATATGTTTCCACCTGTCCACTGGCAGTGCTGGGGTAGGGAGGACTGGTGTGTTCATCACCCTCAGCATCGTGCTGGAGAGGATGAGGTACGAGGGAGTGGTGGACATCTTCCAGACTGTCAAGATGCTGCGCACCCAGAGACCTGCCACCGTTCAGACAGAGGTGAGCTTCCTCGCTGTTATCATTCTGTTTACCTTTGAGTTCACCCTCTCTTTCTTTTAATACTATTGCAGCCGCCGATAGCACCATGAATTGCACATCACTTACAACTGCCTGAAGGTCCGATTCACAAAAGATAATGTGCTAATGATATTACAGTTTTAACACGGCCATAAAGTTCTGCAGCTGAGTGCAACTTTCTCTTTTTTGCCTATGATGGCAGTTATACTTGTGGCAAATTATAAATCTCACCAAAGAACACAGTAGGCAAAACAATTACAGAGAGAAAAAGTCCTGACCAAAAAGGTGCAGAGGCCTTCCTCAAAACTTCAGGCAAGAAATTTAAACATGACAGAGAGAAACCATATTTGGGATTTAATATCCCAGTCTGTCAGTGCTGTTAGTGTTTTCAAACACACACCTTCAGACTGTAATAGAAGACGGCATTTTTTGAAACAGAGGACACCCTTCATAAATGTGCTTCAGTTTCCACCAACTCTCTACGCAAATAATGTCACTGTAATTGCATGTGACTATCAGCACTGTGCTTTGTGAATTAGACTGTTTTTGCAGTGAGGCTCATTTGTATAGAAAGGGGCTAATTTTGTGCCAATGGAGGCATATTACCTAATTTAATCAGTGCAAAATTAGGGCTATCCCGATAATCACCATATTGCAATACTGCGCTATTTACTAGCCAACCCCAGGGGAAGACAAGCAACTGCCACACCAGCTATGGTCATGTCTTTACAGTATGCTGCAAATGCCAACATTGTGACAAGGCACTGAACGTCTACTCTGCTGTACGTTGCAAAAGCATCCAGCTTTGTGTAAAACGCTGCAGCCGCTCATCATTGTCACTTTTTACCCAACAGTCTAATCACAGTACAGGAGGGGTGGGAGAAATACCACATGGATCAACCGTTACATCACTTAAAGGGGAACTAATGTTTTTTTCAACCTGGGCCCTATTTTCCAATCTAACTTTTGTCTAAATGAGTGATAGGTTGTTCAGTATTTGACATTTCTCCAGTTGGAAGCTAGGGCTGACCTGCCTGCAGCCTGTGAGCGCACGGTATATTAAATAATAGGGCACTCAGACAACGTCAAACGTCAAAATACGTCCACTAAAAGTGCATTTTTTTCACACAGATAGGCTCAGATTGTTAGTATAATTATCCCACAACATAACGGAAAGGAGAAATGAACGTGTTTGTCTACCTTTAGCTGGATTCGGACATGTTCCTCTGCCTGTTGCAATTTTAGTATATGTGCTACCGAAGTAACACTGCTCCCTCTCTCTCCTCGTCCGCTCTTTAGTTTCAATGAGCTCTGCGTCCGTGTACTCCGTGTTCAAATAAATACAGGCGGTCATCAAATTCAAATGGCTCCTCCAGATCCAGTTGGTCAAAATCGGGTAAAAATTCAGCCATGACTACTCCAAACAGAGTAACTCCTCGCGTTTGGTAAGATCACTCCAGCGGTTACTTTCCTGCAACAACTCAAATCTCGCGAGACGTGAGATTTCAGAGCCAGGCTTTCACTCTCTGAGTGAGTGTTTTGACTTGACTTTTTTTTAACCCGAAAGAGTTCCCCTTTAACAACAACCACAATGGAGAAAAAAATAAATACTGATTCCATAGAGGCTGGCGATTTTCTTCAGCCTTCCCTTTATCCAGAGCAAGAGCCAGAGCAAGCAGGAGCTCTAACTTGTGCCGACATTTTTACTTACGCAGATATTCTGTATCATAGCAACCAGACACAACCAAAGCATATCAGCTAAAAAACACTGCGCCTCTTATTGCACCTGATTGATCTGTGTTCTGCATTTAACAACCAACAAGTATGTAATTTGTTTTTAAAGATATTTTTATGGGCATTTTTTGCCTTCAATTGATAGGATAGTGAAGTGTGAAGGGGGGAGAGACATGCAGCAAAGGACCACAGGCTGGAGTCGAACCTGGGCCGCTGCAGCAACAGCCTTGTACATGGGGCGCCTACTCTACCACTAAGCCACCGACGCCCCTGTAATTTGTTTTTAAACTGTGTCATTAAGCACTGAAATCAGGATAAATGAATCAATTTTCAAAAACAACAAAACATGGGGAGTGCCAGGCATCGTGCTGTTATGCCACCCTTATTTTTTAAATTCCCCAGTGCTAATAGCACAAGAGCACTGAGACACTTTTTGTTTGGCAGAGTAGTTCAGGTTGCATTTCATCCTTTGCAGGCGCTTTGAGGATTGCGTGGCTTCTTTTTGTCTTTTGTCTTTTGTTTTCCTTTTGTGAGTTCACCCATCAGTCTTTTTTGTCTCTTACTGACTTGTTATTCTTCTGCCTCCCTCCAGGACCAGTACCAGTTCTGCTACCGGGCCAGTCTGGAGTATCTGGGAAGCTTTGATCACTATGCAACATAAACCCAAGTGGCCGTCTCTCATGCCACATCCCACCTAGTACACTTCTCTTGGGTCACATGAGGCCTGAATTAATGCACTAGGCTGCGATGTGTCCTTGAAGATTTTTGCCGCCACATGCAGAGTGAAGGGGGACCATCGGCTTAACCCGTACCCAGAAACAGCACCTCTAACTGAGCCATAGCAACCTGCTTGACAAGGGTGTTTCCTTCCACCCTCAGCCCAAACACACCCATTGGTCAGTCTGAAGAAGCAACTTCAACCACTGGTCCAATCAGAATACTTGATCAGATATTGATTTTTTATTCGTTTCAGTGCTTTTGTGAGCACCCAGATTGCTTTACATTGTTTGGGTGTGGAACTTCTCACCTCGTCCACCACCAGTGTAGCATCACCAACCTAAATACAGGACCCGGCTACAGTATTTAGCTGTCACAGGAAATTTAGATTTTTTCTATCGTGAGGACTGTCTAGAAGGAGTCTACAAATCCATCTTATGGAAGCCTCGTGGACTGAAAGAACTGGGACTTTTGAGCACCAGGGAATTGCCAACAGGAGACTGAAAACACAGAGCACACAGTATTAAAAAGACAAAGAACACACATCCCAAAAAAAGACACCAAGAAGTGTTTTTTTTTCTGTTATTGTTTTGGAAACAGACTCTCGTTTCCTGTGAATGAAAAAAAGAAGATCTTTCTACCATACAGTAATAAAAACCACCAGTTCAACCTTATGCTTCACGATTTAAGATAAGGGAAACTTGAGAGAGGTTTAAAATGCATACCACAAAGTAAAACATTCATTTAGTTTTTTAGAAAAAAAAAATAGATATATGACTATCTTGTTTTTTAAAAACTGGGTATTCTTTATTGCACTTTTTTTTCTTTTCTTTTTTTTTTTCTTTTTTTTACAGATTTATGACTTTGTCCCCACTGACCATACAAAAGCAAACTTGTATTATTTTCTTTCTCTTCTGTGTAATCCAATGAGCTGTAGCGATTTTTTTAAAAAGTGATACGGTACTGTTTTAAAGTGTACAATCAAATCTAGTGTGGAAAATGTTCACGATGCTATGAAAAACACCACCATTGAGTGTCACTCTCCTGTATTCTCTACCCACTCTGTTTTTAAAAATACACGTTTCGCATGCACACGGGACTCTCAACCTTGCTTCTATCTGGCCCGCGGTGTCAGAGACGACGGCCATTTTTGAATTCCCAGGGGCCCACGGAGGTGCAGCCTTAACCCTGCTGCTACCAGGAAACCCCGAGAATAATCCCGCCAAGTTGTTCTGTGTGCAGATTGAGAGAACGCCAGATAGAACTACAGAGAGTATGCACAGAAAGCAAAGTATGGATAAAAAAATATTTATGTGTCCAAATAAGCTTCACAAAGATTTCTCAAGCAGGGAGCGAGAAAGGGATGTAGAAAACACAGGGGTGGGACGAAGGGGAGGGGGTCGGAGAAGGATGAATTTTCTCACTGGAATGCTCACCTATGACTTTTCTCTCTGTCTGATTCAGTGTGCAATAAGTAGATGTATTATATATTTTTGTGTCAAGTCACTAACTGCAGTTACATGCCATTATGATGATATTGATGATGATGATGGTGCATCATTTTCCAGACACAAGGATGTTACGCTCGATATGGTTCTCGCCACCGTTCTAAATGTGTCCAAACGGAGGGTACGACCCTCTGACCTCTTAGGAAGTAGACCTTTTATCATGTCACAACTCCAGTAGACGATGTCATCCCTGTGTCACGGCAACCGACGAATGATCGAACTCATACTTCAAACAGCATCTAATAAGTATTTTGATTTTAGATTTCTAGTGCCTTATATTACACGCCTATTTTGATAAAGTTACTTTAAAGGGTTTTTTTTGTGTATTTTATGTACGTATGCTTGTGTGAACCAAATGTGTGTGTGTGTGTGTGTGTGTATATGATTTTGTTATGTTGTGAAAGTATCTTGTGCGTTCTGTTTTTTGGCTGTGAAATTTTGTATGGAAGGCTCTGCGTAGGCTGGATTGTTGTGTACTCATCACTTTCAACCCAGCAACATCATCGTATCTCTTTTAATCAAAAAGTATATATGTATCTTACATGAGACTCAACTACAGATAAAAAAAAATGTGGTTTCAAAAAAAAAAAAGTTTGTATGTCGACAGCTTTCCGTCTTTTCTTTCCTGGGACACTTGCACAAGCTTTGTGTATATACTCTTTCACTCAGACTTCAGTTTGCCTGCCATGAAATTTTTGGCCACTCTGGCAACTTTGGCACCGACTGTGAGCTGGCTGGGGAAAGTCATACTTACTCAGCTATGTAGGAAATCTATATAAAGCTGAACGGCAGTGACTTTCTCTGTCAGTTTGGAGAAAAAAAACACACAGATACCCACCTGAAGCCCTCCACCTGAAATCAGTCCGACTGCTCATCTGTGCTCCTCGTTCCAATGTCTGTATCATTTCGTTTCCTTTCACCACAAAGGCTGAGAGAAGTTCAGGTGCTATGTCTCCAACGACACAGAACCCACATCGTCATTTCTTTTTTTTTGTATCTCCATTAACGCTTGACCATATAAGGGATCGCTGACAGTTTCCCACCATCTAACAGTAACCCTGTTGTTGTTTTTGTATGCATGGTACCACTTTTGAGATGCCCCTTTTGGTCGCACCTGTTATGGGAAGACTTGCACTTTCTCTCTTTGTACTATGCACTAATACTAGTATCCTATTATCTCTGATAGCCCCTCCCCCCTCCCAAAGGAGTTTTACTTGAACTCAGTAAAGACGGACCCTGTAATGCTCACACGGTTGTGTATATGTAAATAACACAAAACACAGAGAGTAATTGAAATGCATAAATAAAGAAATGAACAAATAGATAAATGATTAAGGAAAAGAGTGAGTAAGAATCTATCCGATATACAGAGTGATATAATAAAAGGATGCACCTGAAATCACAGTTTATGGCACAGCAGTATGTGCAATACATCACATTGTGGATTTGTTGTACCACAGAAGAAAAGTTTCACAGAAAAAAGTGTTCTATTTTACCCCCAATGTATCATGTAGATGGATTAAACTGGAGTTTATAAATTGTATAAAAACGAAAATATGGTGTGTTACTTGGATCAATTACCTCTGATTGATCTGTAAATGTAAACTTTTTTTTTTTTTTCTTTTGGTTTGTTTTCTGCTCCGAGTCAACAAGTGCTTTTTATTTTCTTACATTGGTTCTCGGAGCGCGTGAAAACCGAAAAACAGGTCTGTATGGATTTCTGTTCTCTGTCGACACAAGTTTCATTTGTTACAAATAAACTCAAGTGAAATAACTGCTACTGCTGTCGTTTTGTATCTCAGTACTTTAGACAAAATAACATGGTTGGAAAAATGAAAATTTAAAAAACACAGGATTTTTAAATAACTCATGAAGACAGTATTTGGGATAAAGAGCAGCTTTAAATGGAGATTTTAGTGATTTTTACACTGTTCTGTTTTAAAGTTTATTGTTTATCTTTTTTGGCTCCTACTTTCATAACTCATGTTGTATAAGGATGACATTATGGTATGGACTGTGTATGTGTTGTCTGCTGGGCTGTAATCATCTATTTAATTGGGGGGAACATTTTCAATCTACACCTTCTGCGACCCAACCCTCAAGGAGAAAATTTAGAAGCTTTTCAGAAACAGCTAAATAAACCATTTTAAGACATTTTGAAACAAAAATCTGGGGTCAGAGGTTCTCGAAGATTTGATTACTGGGTGCCATTTGAGGGAGCATATGAATGCATGTGATTTAGGGCAGCAGAGGAAAAGTGCACACACTAAGACCTTTTTATCAATCAATCAATTTTATTTATAAAGCCCAATATCACAAATCACAATTTGCCTCAGAGGGCTTTACAGCATACGACATCCCTCTGTCCTTTGGACCCTCACAGCGGATAAGGAAAAACCCAAAAAACCCTTTAACGGGGAAAAAAACGGTAGAAACCTCAGGAAGAGCAACTGAGGAGGGATCCCTCTTCCAGGAAGGACAGACGAGCAATAGATGTCGTACAGAACAGATCAGCATAATAAATTAACAGTAATCCGTATGACACAATGAGACAGAGAGAGAGAGAGAGAGAGAGAGAGAGAGAGAGATGCAAGACAGACAGTAGTGATAATAGCTGCAATAACATTAATTTAAGTAATAATGTTATAATAATAATTATGGTTATTGTGGTACAATATGTTGTAGGTATATATTAATATATGATAGTATATGTATGTAAGTATGTATATATGTATGTTTATGAGGTATACTATTTTGTATGACATAAACTATGACATAAAGATTTTGATTTTTTGATATATTGTACTTATACTATACTTATACTATACGACTTTCTTATGACTTTCTTATGGCATACTGTGCTATGATATTTTAGGATTTCTTGGCATGACTTACCATAGCTTTTGTGACTTATTATGGCATACTATAAAATTCTTCTTATTTTTTTTTTTTTTACTTTATGACTTTTTATGACAATTTTTTGGCATACTATTCTATGATATATTTTATGACTTTTTGGCAAAATATACCATTACTTTTTTATGACATACTATACTATGACTTTTTTTATGACTTTAATGGTGGCACACTATACTCTGATGTTTTCATAATGTTTTAGATATACTAAAATACTTTTTTATGACATACTGTAATATGCCATTTGTTATCACATTTTTACGACATACTATGCTATGACTTTTTTGTGGCATACTAAACTGTATTTTTTTGATATATATATATATATTATTTTTTTTTGTAACTTTTTATAACATACAATAATATGTCATTTCTATGACTTTTTAATCACGTATTTCCCTGTAAAACACGCTAATGATAGTGCTTATCATACAGCCCATCAGAGCCTAAGTAAAGCTGGCTGAATTGCTGAATAGTGGAAAATACACTCCCACTCCAAATCTTCCTCCAACTGACCTGGATTGCTTCCTGTGTTGGTGGAGCCCCTGTGAGCCATCTCACCTGTGGCAGATCCTCTCTGATCAAAGCAACACACAGGCCTCATGGGAATGACCTTTCAGCACTTTGTTTTTGACTGTGTGGAAACGATCTGTAAGTTTGCCTTATGTGACAGCTAATGAAATGATGCTCTTTGGCAGCTGGCTTGTTACTTGCAGTTTCGGCGGTGGTTAAGGATAAGAATTTTAATATTGCTAAAAATAGCAAACATCTCTAATTTTACTCCGGCATCATCCAGCAATGTTCAGGGCCTTTGTTTTGGCTGTGTAATGAGCGTTGCATTGCATCGCTGTCAACTTTTAGTCTTGTTAAATCCATATTGGGAAACAGGTTGAGGCTGCAGTCTGCAGTAAGCAGAGAGCTGCAGCTGAAAGCGCCTCGCTCATTCATGTCTGTCTTGTCATTGTAAAGGCGCAGCGAATTATCTTCCAACGCCTCCACCAGGCTGTAGAGAGAACGTCCTGCTCCTGGGCTTCAAGCACAACATTTCAGATCAGTCTTCTTCTTCCTGTTGCAGCCTCTGAAACTCAGTTCAGTCCACTTTAAGATTTCCTCCATTGGACTGTGGGAGTGTTTTATTTATCTATATTACAATGTCTATGAAAGACAAATCACTTTAACATGAGTATGATAAGTATAACTAGTTAAAATAATGCAACTCTTTGTATCCTGTTAACTGAGGTCCAAACCCAAAAAGGGAAACACATTTGTCTTACAGGACAGTGAACACAATAAGGGGAACTGAGGGAATAAATTAGGCCGACATTATACTAATATAAAAAGATAATGAATGTATCAGCTGCAGAGAGTTT